AAAAAAAGAAGGAACAAAAAAGAAAGAGGTCGGTCGGGTCGGGTAGCGACGGTCTCAGTGTTTGAGTCAAGCAGCAGTCCTACTTACTGTCGACCTTGTTCATCATTGACCGCTGATGGTTTTCTGGCTCCGCAAACGAGATCTGGTTTCGAAACTGGCCCTCACTTGAGCGACCGTATTGTCCGATTCTTTGTTGGTCTTGCTCGGCGCGAAAGGGTGCGGTGACGCAGGTCGCAAGCCGTCAAGAAGGCTCCGTTGCTGCCCAAAGACGCGGGGAGGAAAGCACGTTTCCGTGGCTGTGCGGGGTCATTTCAAAAGGAAAGAGTCCCTTGCATGAAGAGAAAAGAGCAAATTGCCAAGTGCGACGCGTCACTTCTGCGCGAAATCCGGCTCGACTTTGCCGTCGAAATCGAGAGACCGCTCCGAGTCGCTCGAAAACGTGGAGCACTCCAGGCTCGTCAACAGCCGAGGGCTTAGAATGAACTAGAAAGTTGCAAGCGAAACGCGTGCTGCTTGCTTCACAGCGCGTTTATCGGAGCCTCTTGAAGGCAAGCTATCCGGCCAGTGGGCACCGGTATTGAGCACATTCGGGTAAAAAGATGGACATCTCCATCGGAAAACATGGTAACAGCAGACAGTGTCAGGTAATATTCATGTCTATGTGGCTGCTATTCTGACAGGCTATTCCCTGAACACTGCTTCCCAACCCCAGCTGGTGAAGATATCCAGCCTAGCCTACCGGCATCACGGCTTTGGCAAGATCCCTCCGACCAACTTTACTTGCTCTCCTTCTTAGGAGTCTCAGGAGTCGCGGGGGTCTCGGTCTCGGTCTCGCCTTCGTCCTTGGGAGCCTCAGGAGTCTCGGTCTTGCCCTCCTCCTTGGGAGCGTCGGGAGTGGCGGGGGTTGCGGGGGTCTCGCCACTGCCCTCCTCCTTGGGAGTCTCGGGAGTCTCGGGGGTCGCGGGAGTCTCCTCGACGGGAGTCTCCGGGGTAGCGGGGGTCTCGGTCTCGCCCTTGCCCTCGTCCTTGGGAGCCTCAGGAGTGGCAGGGGTCTCGGGGGTCTCGGGAGTCTCGGGGGCGGCGGGGACCCCCGGAGTGGCGGGGTCCTCGGGTACCACATCCTCGCACTCGGGCAGTTCCTCCTCGGGGGTGGCGGGCTGCTCGGGGGTGGCAGGCTCCTCGGGGGTGGCAGGCTCCTCGGGGGTTGTGGGGGCCTCGGGGGTTGTGGGAGTCTCAGAGGTCTCGCCGTTGCCCTCCTCCTTGGGAGCCTCGGGATTGACGGGGGTTACGGGGGTCTCGCCGCTGCCCTCCTCCTTGGGAGTCTCGGGGGTCGCGGGGGTCTCCTCGACGGGAGTCTCAGGGGTAGCGGGGGTCTCGGTCTCGTCCTTGCTCTCCTCGGTGGGAGTCTTGGCCTCCTCGGCGGGAGTCTCAGGGGTAGCGGGGGTCTCGGTCTCGCCCTTGCTCTCCTCGGTGGGAGTCTTGGCCTCCTCGGCGGGAGTCACGGGAGTAGCGGGGGTCTCGGTCTCGCCGTTCTTGTTCTCGTTCTTGTCCTTGGCGTCGGCGGGATCGTCTCTGGCCGCACGGCACTCCTCCGCGTTGGCGACCTCCTCCTTGAAAGCCTTGAAGAAGCCGTTGCGGCAGTACTTCTCGGTGCCCTGGCAGGCCTCGGACTTGGCCTTCTTGTTCTTGAAGTCCACGCCGCAGGCGGACTGGTCGGGCTGCAGGAAGGGCAGCTTCTTGGCGGTCTTCTCGCGCGAGGCGATGCACTCGGCCTCGGTCTTGATGGGCTCGTCGAAGAGCTTGTAGAAGCCCTCGGCGCAGTACACCTTGGTGCCGACGCAGAACTCGGTCTTGCCGGTGTCGTCGCCGCCGGGGTGGGGGTCGCGGCAGGTGCCGGACTCGGGGTGGGGTTCGAAGAACGGCGCGAGCTCGGCCTGGCGCTTGCTGAGGGGGTGAGCGGCGGCGAGGCTGGCGGAAAGAGCGAGGACGACGGAGGCCTTCATCTTGAATGTGAGTGAGAGTGGGGAGATGAAATGGTGTGGTTGTCTGGAGAGATCGTGGCGAGGGCAGCTGTTTTCTTTTTCAAAGTTGTTGTTTTTCAGTGGTTTTCGAAGTTGACAGTGAAAGCGAAAGTAGTTGGCGCGGTGAGGCTGGAGAAAAAGCCTGTTGACTTGGGCAATTACCGTCCATTATATACATGAACTGCCGTCCTGCGTCGCTGCAAGTCTTCTTTGCTGCGCCTTCCTCTCCCAATGAATCGCGCGACTAGTCATGTAAGCGCACCGCGCTTCCAATCGATGCAGGGTGCGGCGTCAAGTCTTGGGCACTGGGACTGAGTCGGTTGCATGACTGACTATGGAACCGTGAACAATGCGCCCTGGCAAGACACTCTGCAGCGACGTACAGGTATGCTTCTAGCATCATGCCGAAGGCGAGACGGTCCAGTAGGCTTGACGGAATTATCTGTGATGCTAATAATACCGCTTGTGCATTGCTCGGCAAGACTCGTGGCTATACCTGTGCCCATTGAACTATGAGTGTAGAATCTAGCGCCAGAAGAAGGGCCACGGTTAATATCAAAGCAGTATACCTAGAGCGGGTTGAGTCTCGTCCAGTTTACACGCATTAAACGTGTTGTGTGGTTTCATTCGATGGCGGGGCTTGCGACTGTAGGTGTCGGGGGCTACGCCTTTCACTTCCTATATTTGTTATAATTTCCATTGAGTGATATGTAGCATAGTTCTTCTCTCCTTTTGAGCGTCCTGTACAGAAGCTCTATGCTATATTTCTTGTTTTTCCAAAAGACAATGAAATAAGTGCGACTTACGATCTATGTAACTATGCTGTTGCCATCCTGGTTGCCCGGTACCATGAGTGACTGTTGAAAGTGCGTAATCACACCCAGAAGAGTAACTCGGAAAAAAAAGAGGCTTTATCAAAGGATCGAGCTGGGCATTTGGAGCCAGCCGGGAGTGGCTGTCATGAGCTTTGGGTTTCAAGAACACGGCCGATGGCATGCCGTTTTGCTCCCCTCCTAGTCTCGGGACGCGATGCCGTTCTCCTGATTGCTGAAAAACCTAGTCAAGATCAGCAAAATACCCCTGGCGGCATTACCCGACACATCACTCGAAGTGTCGCTCGACGCTAATCGTTGAGAATTCCAAAGCCTAGAAATTGCGTGGATGAGTGGTGGTGAAGGTTGGAGTGAAGGCGTAGACTCAGGTTGTCGATCACCAGGCGAAGAAGGTGTCGGTCGGCGTCGGCGGTTGAGTGTTTTACGGACATCCCATGTTGAGCACTGAGCATGAGCATGGCTGCAAGTCCGCTTATAAGCTTGCATTAGGCATGTCGCTCCTGCACGTCGTGGGTCGGCCTTCTAGGCCTGTCTAGCATGATGCGACTCTCATCATGCGTGCCGTCTACCGTATTAGGGCAGCGGCGCTGGCCGTTATGGGCGCGTTCACGGCTTCTCAGCAGCTTAATGTGGAAAACCACAGAGTCAGTAGAAGACTAGATAATTATCACCTCGATAGTTGTTCTACAGACAAGATTTGGGTTGCCACCCCACAATGCGGAGGTTGATTTGTGGTTATCACAGTTAATTGCCTCGCCTAATAAACGATTACTCCGTACCTTTATGCAGCCGTTCAATTCACTGGCCGAAGATCATGGCCGACGCTCCAGGCTGCTCATCCGACCTGTCGACTCAGTTCGTAAGCTTTCTCTTGGAAACTCCATCATACCAGGTTGTTTGCATGAAACCGCCGTTTTAGTGCCCGCCTTGACGGGGTGTAATTTGAAACAAGAGCAAGTAAAGCCTTGTTAACTGTTCATAACTTAACGCCTTGAGCCCTTGGACATCATACCTGCCCACGCTTGGTCTGTCGGCTGGGTTGGCTCGCTGAACCGTTTGCCACAGGACTATTTAGTCATTGCAGGATATCCCGCTATCTTGCCGAGCCATTCCTGCCAGATGATGCCGCTCGCGCGCACGCCGTTGCACTGGATTCCGCCTCGTCCCGTCCTCGTCCGTGGTCCGACCTGACACGCAATGCGTTTCACATTCATCCGCAATCAACACTTGTGCAGGATAAACTCCGATGCCCTCTCTGCAATGGCATAGATGGTAGCCGTCAAGTGTCCGCTCAGCTGCGTCGGCACCGTCGACGCGTCCACCACACGCACGTTCGCCGTCCCGTACACCTTGAGCTTGGCATCCACCACGCCGCCCAACTCCCGCGCCATCATCGACGCGGTGCCCAGCGGGTGGTTGTTCGGTCCCACCGCGCCGGGGACGAACCTGCGCCAGTCCTCCTCGGATGCGTTCTCCGGCAGCTGCTCCGCGGACGGGTTCAGGTACCCGGTGACGTGCGGACGGATCCGGCTCGAGTTGTAAAAGGCCCTGACCACCTTGCCGATGGCGACGGTGCTTTCCAGGTCGTAGTCGACGGCCAGGAACCGCGGATCGATCGCCGGCCCGTTGGCGGAGACGTGCACGCTGCCGCGGCTGAAGGGCAGCAGGTTCCAGGCGGCGCCGCTGAGGGCGCCGGCCTGCGCGGCCTGCACGACCTCCACGATGGTCGCGTTTTGGCGGAAGATGAGGTCGTGCTGCAGCGTCATCAGCGTCTCGATCGCGGAGACGTTGAGCGCGCCGTTGCTGCGGTCCACGACTTGCTGCGCCCACTGCGGGATCGCGGCCCGGACGGACGAGGCCTGGTCGGACGTGGCGTCGCCGAACAGCTGCCGGGCGGTCAGGAAGGTCGAGTACGGGGTGTACCCATCCGTGGAAAAGTCGCTCTTGTACACGTACGGGACGAGTGGGTTGTCGACGAGGTTCTCGCCGACGCCGGGTAGGTCTACGATCACAGGGATGCCGTGCTCCTCGAGGCGGGCTGATTGTCCGATGCCGCTGCTTTCCAGGATCAGCGGCGTCTTGAGAGCCCCGGCTGCGAGGATGATCTGCTCCTTTGCTCTCAGCTGCAAGACGTCGCCCTCTGCGCTGGTGTACTCGACGCCCGACGCCCGCGCTCCGTCGCGCTCCGTCTTGGCATCGTCCCACAGCAGCTTGGTGACGGTACCGTTGATGAGCTTGAGGTTGGCGCGGCTGTCGGAAATAGGCCAGTAAAAGGCCGATGCGGCATCCCATCGAGTGTTCGTCTTTGCGTCAATCGTCTGCGGCCAGACGTCGAATCCACGGACCGAACCAGAGTTGACGTCCTTGATCTTGGAGACGTCAAGAGACGACCACGCTTCAACGGTCGCGGCGTACCACGATCCGTTGAGAAGTCTCGGGTTGAAGCAGGTGTGAATATCGCCGGCGGTGCCGTGGACCTGCGGGTCAAATGTCGCGCCGGCGTCAACTTGCCACTCCTGGGGAGCGACAAAGTCCTCCAGCGTCTTGTAGTACTTCATCATCGTTTCCCAGTTCCATCCTTTGTTTCCAAGCTTCTCCCAGGAATCGAACTCGGTTGCGTCTCCTCGGATATATGTCATGCCTGTTTTGATCAGTACCGCGCGACTTCAACTCGGCTCGACCTTGACACACCGTTGATGAGGCTTGTGCCACCAATACCTCGACCAGAGTAGAAGGTGAGCTTTCGGTTATTGGCGTGCGGTTGGTTGACCGAGACATGCTGCTCGGCGACGTAGCTACTGAGTATCTGCAGCCAGTCATTCGGAGATTTGACAACAGCGTTTTGCCTCTCGTCGGACCCCGGGTCGATGACAGTCACGGTGGTGCCGGGATCGCGCGACAGCCGGTTGGCCAGCAGCAGGCCGGACGTGCCACCGCCGACGATGATGTAGTCCACGGGCTCGGCGACGGCAGAATTGGTCAAGAGCAAGCCCGCGATGGCGGCCAGCATCTGTGGGAGTCGCATGGTGGATGATTTAGATACGTAGCCTGGAGAGTCCACGAGCGTGGTTCTTACACACACCGGGTCTTCCAAACACCTAGGGGCAGGCCTCCTTTAAATAATTAAAGGTGACTACTGCATCAAGCGAGTTCTGTACGAGAAATCTACGTCATGGCTGACGATCCAGCAGGCCGAGCGAGTCCAAGAATACCGCCGAGACCCACCCCGTTCTGAGAAGAGAAGTTGCCGAGAGGCTAAGCAGAGAGATTGTTTCCGTGAAATGGGGGGATCTGCGGAGAAGGTGATGTTTCTTTGATTTAGTAATGTTGTCTAGAAGAGCTTGAGTACGAAGTAGCACAGGAGTATTACCCATTCCTTGAAAGCCCGGAGTTGCGTACTTGACCGAGAGTACAGCCAGGGTAGGAGGAGCCAGAGGACTGACAGTACAAACTACATGTCTGCATAGCCATAGCCCATTTACAGGATAATAGAAACAACACAAGTGCAAATGTAAATTTCGGAATCGTCCATCACGGCGTGTCTGTCTTGTCATGTCGCCACAGCTAGGGAATAAACCACAACTGTCTGTTAAGCACTGTATGTAGCTTACTCGGTTAATCGAGTGTCCCACAGCAGGTGTGCTATACTGCCCTGGTGCAACAAAGAGGTACGCCTGAAATTTTCAACAGACCAATCACATTTTTCTTACATTTTTACACTGGTGAATTAATGTTGCGATGACTATGTAACTTACACAAGGCGTGTACAGAAAATGCGCCACAGTGCAGTGGCTTGATATAAAATGAGGCGTCTTGACTCCTGCCAAGCTGCCACTCTTTTCCTTTCTTCACCTTTCTTCACCTTTCTTCACACTCAGCCAAGAACGAGAAAAAAACGCAGAAACATACTCACTCTCATATCCATGGCGGACACGCCCAACTATCAAATCCGAAGTCTTGTTTGGGGCGACGATGAAGACGGCCATAATGCCACGTTCAAGGTTCGTCGCAACGGGACAGTCTTCAGCATCGAAATCAGGCCCTCGTACTTCATCAACTCTCCCGACAATGTCCAGAAATTCCTAGAGCTCATCCAACCGGACGAGAACTTTCACGGTAATATCGACACGACCAAGCTCTTTGATTGGGTCATGTCTCCGTTCATGCAGCTTCTTACCGACCTCGCACCCCCCGCGGACGATCCCAACGAGACAGAGATATCCCACCAAGACAGGCTCTCTCCTGAATGGTACCTTTTTCACTCGTATTTTATCAATGAAAAGCCTGAGCCGCGCCACATTTTCACATGCAACGACCGAGTCCCCGGAGGCCGCGCCTTCGCCAACAAAATGTGGCTCGATGAACTGGAGCAGTGGACGGTTCTTTATGAACCAGCTGATATTATTCTAAGCCCGGAAAATCTACAAGAATCAATACACAGACGACCCAGAAGGGTTTTAATCAAAGATGGAGCTATTGTGTGTTTCTACAAGGCCTGCCATTCAATTGTCGGCGCCTTGGGGGAGCTGAGCAATTACCGGGCTATCGCTGATTCTGGCCTTTACCAGCAGGGGCTGAACACTTGTCGTGTACATGGTGTTGTTATTGACAGTAAATATTTCCTTGCCGGGATTCTTCTATCCTACATTGACGGCACGGACCTTCCTCACGCTTTGGGAGCCATCCATGAAGAGCCCGACTACCCGTCGCACCAGCTACGGCGAGTCTGGATGCAGCAGCTCGACGATGGCCTCGCTGCGCTACACAAGGCCGGAATTGTTTGGGGCGACGCTACGGCGGAAAATGTTCTGATTGACAAGGATAACAACGCCTGGATCATAAACTTTGGAGGTAGATATACTGAGGGCTGGGTGGATGAGGAGTTGTTTGGCACTGTTGAAGGAGACCTCATGGGTCTATTCAAGATTTGGAAGCTTCTGTTCCCTCCGGAAGCTCATCACGAAAACTCAATGGCTGATATTGCAGAGCCGAGTCACTAAAAGATCACAACGACATTACATGGCGCCGCTTACTTGCGTAGCGGTGGAAAGAGCCCCTCCAGAACGAGTCTCGCCATCCTCGACGCAACATCGTCAACAGCTCGTTGGTTCAGAGTAGCAGCGTCATGAAACAAATAGTCATCGGGCGCGCTGCACGACGTTTCGTCACGCTCACCCTGTCCGGGTATATCCATCGCGCTCGCGAAGCACGGGTCCCATGTATTCGCGAAGAGCAGCGACTCGTTCGCCGCCGGCGCTCCGTTCCCAGCCGAGTCATACGCGCCACTCTGCCGCATCGCCGCATTCATCATCAGGTCCGTCATCCCAGTCACCGTCGCCAGTTGCGAGCCCAGTCGTTTCGGATACGGCGCAAAGGCGAGGTTGACCGCGCCCGTTTTCGGGCGCATGTCCACCGGCAAGGCATCCACAAAGTCTTTGATGGCAGAGTCGCTCGTGGGCTGCTCGCTGGTGTTCAACACCTGTTCCTTGTCCACGCCGTCCGGCTTCGACCGCCCCTTGTCCTGCCACGCCGCCATTTGTCTCTCGACCTGTCGGTTCCAGCGTTGCGTCAACGCTACGGCGTTGCGCATGTGCTCCGCTCGCGTGTGAGGATACGGCGGCATCGGGCGAGTCTGCCATACCGGCGCGAGGGTCATGTCGAAAAGCTGTGGTACGAGTATACGAAACGATTCGAGCGCCCGGTCGTCGATTTTTTGCGGCGCGGTTGGGGCCATTAACTTCTTCATGGACTTTGAGCTCATGCCGGTCCAGAAACTGGAAAACGCAATCGACTTTGGGTTGAGGGCTTTGAGGTACAGGAGCTCGACCTGTTGGAAAATGTGTTGCACCATGTCGTCGAGAACATCATTCGCCGTCTCGATGGGCAGAGCGGCCAGGTTCCATACCTCCCACGTCCCGAAGCTGAAGATCCAGACGGTGCTCCTCGACTGCGTTCTTTCTGGCGGGGTGGAAAGGAACTGGCGTACTTGCGATGTGAGATCCGACACCGTCGGAACAGGGTACTGCGACTTGAGAAACTCGTAATCGGAAGCCGGCGACTCGAGCAGGTCCGCGCCTTCGACGGACGCCAGAAACTCGTCGACTGCGGTTTGGTAAATTTGGTTCGATGTTAATGCGGGTTGCGCATTTTCCGGCGGTACCAGAGAGCGGTACGATGTGCAGCCCATCTAGGTACGAGACGTTAGTCTGTGTTGAAGCAGTGGCGTTCGCCGGTCTACAAGAGAGCATACCTCTTTGCAGAGCTGCAGAGTCCACGATGACCTCGACGAATCCGAGGCGGGCACTGCGCTGCCAAAGACATCCTGCGACCCAAAGACTACGACGCGCACATCGTCTGTGGACTTGGTGATTGACGGGTTGAAGGAACCCCAAGGTAGAATGTTCTCATACCCTTCCCAAAACAGCGAGGTCGGCGTAAACGTCGCGAGGAAGTAGACGAATATGAAGCAGATTGCTATTTGCGCAGTGAGACGGGGGGTGGTCCGCAATAGCCTGTGGGAAACGAAGCGCAGCGAGGCAACGAATTGCCCTCCACCGGCCAGTACGCTCTTTGAGGTCATCATTTGAGCCGAGAGCATAAGTGAGTGATGACTACAGCGAGCGCGTGGCAAAATGCTGCGAGGCCTCAAGTCATTTCGCAAAGCCGCCGAAACTTGGTGGCGTGCCGGTACCTCCGGTCGGAGCACTCTTTCTCGAAATTCGGATTGCTTGTTATTTGGGGTGTTCCGAAAGAGTAGTTGGAAGAGCTATTGGTGGCGAAGGCGCGATTGAGGGCGCGAGTGGACGTCAAAGGGGACTGAATCGTTCTCCTGCGACAGATGGACCGAAGGAAAGGGAAATGTTGCACGCGAGCGACCCCCCAGTGCATTTTAAGCAAGGCTTCCCACCACAAACCTGTTTATTATCTGTGGGGGAATATGATTGAGTTCACTCATCACGTCCACGCAATGGCGTGGGCAACACAGACTCCTCTAACTCCTCAGTGGAAACCAACTAGCTACGCGGATAACGGCATCTTGTTCAAGCCAGCAACGGCACGCGGCCTCCCTAGTTATTGGCCCCCAAGTGTGATGGGAGGCCGTTTTGGGGTAGTGTCCCGGATAGGTGGCAATTAAGGGGTCAAGAAAGCACCTATACACACACAGTTCGGACGTCTTGGCTGGCCACGCCAGTGACGTTTGAGACACCTCATTGATCCAACTGATCCATACTAGGTCGTGGGGCGCTGGACAAAGTCAACATCGACGCGCGTCGGGAATGGTGCTTGGTAGCACGACCAGCTACCCAAAATAGCCTTTGACCAAGGATCAAGTTCAACACAGCATCGAGCTCTGCACACTCTGGTAAACGTAATCCAAACATATGTCTGCTAGAATACCAACAAGGGCTCGCTCGACACGCCTCCTACCAGTAGAGGCAGGCCGAGTCCGGCACCGACGCGATGAGTCTAGATGCGCCACGAGCGCCACAGCGTCCATGGTTGGCAAAAAAATGCGTGCATATTCAATGGGCAAGTCACATCCAGCATCGATTCTCCGGGTGGCTGCCAGCTGAGCCTGGAAAGTAAAGGTAATGATTTCGTCATGCCCTGTTGGTCGTGTGTTCACCTTCATCTCGTCTCTCCTCTGCTTGTCTGATCATGCCCAACACGGTCACACATCCTTTGAGAGCCTAATCTCTTAATCTATTCGCGTCGGATCCATCACACTTCTATTTATCCTTATTTATCCTTATTTATCCTTGATCCCATCTCTCATTCTCATCATATCAATCATACATATCTCATTCATCTGTCTCATGTCTCATCACTTTTCGTAAATTACATCAAGTCCCTCACCACCCAAAACCCTCCATCTCAACTTTTGCCTCTTACGAAAAAGAGAAGCAGCAGGCCCTTCAGCTCCTTCCATCCAGCTTGAACCCAGTCTTGCGCAGCTTCTGAAAGACGCTCCTCGGGTCGTAGACGGCCGACACGGCCGCTAGCAGCGCCCTATTCCTAGCCCCGTAGTGGGTAAACGGCTGCTGGTCACGCCAGGCGTAGTTGAGGAAGATCCACGGCTCGTAGGTCTTCATGTCGCGCTGCTTCTTGTTGACCGTGTGCATGAACTCCTGCGCGACCGGCAGCATGGCCTCCTGATGCGCGGGGTCGTCGACGGTGAGGGAGAAGAGCCAGTTGATCTTGGGCCCGTCGGCCACGACCGCGTCCAGGCCGAGGACGTTGCCTCCCTGCCGGGCCGCGTGCGCGGCCATGGCGGGCGTCAGCGGCTGCAGCGAGATGAGGGTGCTGAAGGTCGCGTCCGGGGCGGCGGCTTGCAGCTTGGGGATGAGCGCGCGGTGCAGCTCGTCAATGGCGACGAGCGCCTCGAAGCTGTGCTTGGCCGTGGCGGTGAACCAGTTGGCGCTGCAGGCGCTGGTCAGTATTCATGGTCTTTGAAAGGGATACACAACCTACTAGAGACCCAGAGGCGTCGGGCCGGTGAACTGGGGGATGATGTCCTTTTCCGGACCCGACGTCAAGGTGCTGCCAATGTTGGGGAGGGACATGTACTCGTCAAAGGCGGTGCTGTTCGCGTCGCCGTTGGCGTTGGTCAGGATGGAGCGGAGCGCGAAACCATCCTTGTTGTCCCAGAACAGGGCGACGATGTTTTGATCCGGCGAGCCGTCCTTGGTGTTGTCGACGAAGTTGAGGTAAGCCTTGAAGACGTCGTCGCGCTTGGCGAGGTCGTACTGGGTGAAGCCGCCCCAGAGCTGGGTACCGGGAATGGTGACTGTGCCATTCGTCAGCTGCTGACCAGAGCAAGTTGGCCAAGTTACTCACCTTGGTCGACTCGCGTCACGAAGCCCAGGTTGCCGGAGCCTCCCTTCTGCGCCTTCCAGAGGTCCGCGTTTTCCTTGGCGTTGGCGTTGACGACTGTTCCGTTGGCCAGGACAATCTCCCAGTTTGCGACGTTGTCGCAGGAGAAGCCATGTTCGTTGGTATGAAACGAGTACTACGCTCCGGTCAGCAACATCCCACTCCCACCAGACAGCACAGCTTACACCGGAACCCGTGGTGAATCCGCCGACGCCGACGACAGAGGTGCGCGCGCCGACGACGGTGACGTTGTGCGGGTGGAGGGTCTCGTAGACGGATCCCCATCGCGCGCCGGGCTGGATCGCGGCGATGCGCCTCTCCGGGTCAAAGGTGGTGGCGTTCATGTGGCTAAAGTCGACGGTGATGCCGTCCTTGACGCCGTTTGAGCCCTTCCAGGCCGAGTGGCCGCCGGCACGGACGCCAAAGGGGCACTGCCGGCGGGTGATGGTGCGCGCGACGGCCTGCACGTCGGCGGTCGACTCGGGGAGCACCACGCACCAGGCGCGCTGGGCGGCGTTGGCCGAGTAGTACGACTTGAGCTGGGCATCGTAGACGGCGCTGTCGGGCAGGAAGACTTTGTTGCGCAGCGAGTCCTGGGCGGCCAAGTCGGTGCACTACCGAGGTCAGCCTCATACCATCGTGAAGGTTGTTGCATGAAGGACGTACGCATCGGCTGCCCGGGGCGGCAGATGCCGCAGCGGCTAGCACTACAGAGGCAGCTGCAGAAACTTTCATGACGAATCAAATACGCCGGCGAATCAATTGATGTGATATAGAGTCCGTACTCAACCACGAGCGATCAGCATTGGCATATCCTGCTTGTCCCGGTGTCGGGGATCATCAGCGTCCCTTCCGAGGCGGGGTGGACGCTAAATTTATACAACCTGATTCCATCACCGCCGGGCATTGGATGAGGGAATTGAAAGGCTTATCGGCGATGGGGTCTTCATTGTGGCAAGTTTATTGCAGCATGAGACTGGCCAATTTACCAATATTTCTACCAACACTTCGACCCGTTCATGCACCGCTGTGAGTTGGCAAGAGGGCGGTGGTGGGGAAGAAGCGCATACTAAACGGGAAGGTCGCCGAGTCAGTGAGGAGATGTTGACCGTGAACATTGACTCGACCATCGACTTGAGAGAAGCTGCTCGTTGACCTTGACGGTAGCTACGGTACTCTGTGCAAATGAGCCGTTTGATACGTTCGTTGTGCAGTCCGTTGTGCGGTACATATAAAGAAGCACCATGATACAGTTCAAAAACACAAAAAGTCGTTGCCTCATTATTCTCATGGTTCTGCGACCGCGGATTTCAGTCGCCAAGACCGAGCAACCCACAACTGGCCATCCACTTACTCACTGGTCACCGGGCCGTTTCCAGATAATTGGTGTCCACAGGCCAGCAAAGTGAAGCAATTAGGGTGCAAGAGGTGACCTGACAACAATATCTGGTGCAGAGAGGCCGCCGAGGTGCTCACAAGCGAAGTTACTTAGAGTTTTAGCTGTTGGTCGCTGAATCCCTTGCGGCACGTCGTCGAGCCGGCTCTCGCTGACCTATTTCTCAGCCAACGCTTTTTCTAAGGAATATGCCGCGTCAATTGCCTCGTTATAGTTGGGTGTACTCTCCGCCCACATCCAACAGGGATCTGCATGACTGCTCACATTTCAGGCCAAATGCTCCAGCATGGATGGAATATCCCAGCTCAAATAGCCCCAACTCACCGCAAAGAAAATAGGGTTTGAATTAGGGTGTTATATCCTTCCCTAGTCTCCGCCGCGCCCCCCGTTTCCTACCCGTCGTGGGGGTCGGCCTACAATGATTCAGCATCTCGTCCACCATCGACGCCGCTCTGCCCTCCCGCTGGATCGTATGGGCAATCTTGGCCCCCCCTGGCCGGCTCGGCTGTCGCAATGGAGTTTCTTCCTTCTGCCTTATTTGTATATGCGAACCGCCCCCTTCCCAGCTTCGACAGGTTTTCTTTCCGCAGAGAGAGTTTCTTGAGCGCTTCGTCTGACATGGGACGCACACATCATGGCTTCCTTTCCCGTCGTCAACGGCGTCACGGTCTTGATGCTGCCGCCCGACGGCGTCACACCCGACTTTGACAACCCCCGGCAGAACCACCGACTGCAGCACTTCCTGGCCTTTGGCATCGGCGGGCCGCTAGCGCTGGCATTTTTGCTGCAGAGGTTTTACACGAAATTGTACCTGTCAAAGGGGCTTCAGATTGATGACGGCACGTGCGCCGGCTGCAGCCCGGCGAGACCTTGCTGACGTTGATTGATAGCCTTCATGTTTCTCGGATGGCTCATGTCGTTAGTCACGCAAGCCCTTCTCACATGTATGTCGGCATGCTTCTAACCTGTCTTGTGTCGGAATCCCTAACGCCGGATCTATGTGACAGACTCCATCTTGGAAGGCGGCATGTGCGCGCACGTATGGGAGATGCCTCTCGAGCGCTTCGAACGATACGCCATAGTACGTTTCGCCTTCCACCTTCCCACCGGAACCGTCTAACTCTTTCCAGTTCGTCTTCGTCGCCGCCCCGGTCTATCAGCTGTGCAACGGCTTCACCAAGCTCTCGCTGCTGGCCATCTACCTACAGCTATCGCCGAGTCGCCTGTTCCGTTTCGCCACGTGGTCGAGCATCGCCATCGTCGCGGCCTACAGCATCGTCATCACCTGCATGATGATCTTCCGCTGCAGCCCCGTGCGCAAGTCGTTCGACGTGCGCGTGCAGGGCGGCTGGTGCCTCGACGCGGGCATCCTCTACATGGCCACGGCCGTGTCCAACATCGTCACCGATGTGATGCTGTTCCTGCTGCCGACCCCCATGGTGCTGCGCCTCCAGATGGACCGCGCCCAGAAGATGGGCGCCATCGCCATCTTCGCCATCGCCTCGGCCACCGTCGCCACTTCCATCGTGCGCCTTATCTACCTTCCGGCCACCCTGCGAAGCACCGATCCCTCGTGGGACGCCGCACCGGCCAACGTGTGGACGTGCGTCTTCCCCCCTTCTTCCCCGCATATCGTCAACACCCCGCTGACTAGAATATAGGTTCGTCGAGGGAAACTTGTTCGTCATTTGCGGATCCATGCCGACGGCGAGACGGTTCGCGCGGCACTGGTTCCCGGGGCTGTTCGGCACCAACACGCCGCAGGTGTCCAAGGACTCGGCCCGGAGCGCCATCGCGACGTGGGGCGGCCGAGCGCGCAAGCACCGCCGCTACTCACAGTTCGAGGAGGAGGACGCGAGCGAGCTGGAGCTGTTCGACCGGGCAGGCGGCGGTGCGGAAGACGCGGCGAGTAGGACGGAGCGGGGAGCGGATGCGCAGGACGGACATGCGGGTTTGATAAACAGTGATGCCGAAACAGGCGGCGCAAAGATGCAGGATGAGAACAGGCATAACTGTTCGTGACAAGGACATGGCACGGTCCGGATGGATGGCGTTTTTTTCAGTTTGTTTTCGCTTTTAAAGGTCCAGGATCTTAGATAATTAGACAACTATGTATATATGCAATGCCTACGCGGCAACGAAGATCCTGCTGGTGTTTGGCTTTTCACGAAGTGCGTTTTCTCTTGACTTCGGCATGTTTACAGCCGCGAACGATAGCGATATTGCACATGACCATCTCTGGTTTGTTGTGTGCCGAGCAGCTTTGTAAAACCCGAATATCCAGAGTATGTCATACTTGTCGTATCAGGGATGCCGAATAATCTAGACGGGTGCAAAAAGGTAACCAGACAAATTCACCACAGCCCTATAGGCATCGCCGAAGAGTTGACTGTAGAGGAAGGGGCGCCAGAGAGCGAGTCGATGAGCATCTTGGCCTCGGTCCCGCCGTGAACACTTCGTAGGCAAAACTCATTGCATGCAATGTCTACGATAATTTACTATATCCGAGTAGAAGAAAACTTCTTTGTTTTTTCTCAAACTCAGTGCATGGTTCTAGTATGACGGTCGAGTAGTTTGACGGTCGAGAACAGCCACACCGGGAACAGCGATTATTGCCACCAGGCCCAAACAGGGGTCCAGGCCTACTAAGTTGAGGCTTGCATGCCTTTGTAAGATGCAGGCAGAAAACATAACTCGACGCCACTGGAAAAAAATCTGCTGCAGTGTCGATCACCTGCAGCGCACCACCGGCTACCACTGACCCGAGCGGTCGGGTGTCGCCGCTTGTTGTAGGGCTAAAGTTGGCAGGTAACGTAGCAACTGAGTGGCATGCATGGCTTGGGAGTTGTCTCGAGAGCCCGTTGAGGGTGTGAAGCGCTACGCCGATCTGGAGAGCCGCGGATGAGGCTGTCCAGATTTCAACGGCGGCAAGAGATGACTCGGCTTTAAAGCAACCGCGAAGGTTGCCTGTTGTATTTTGCGTGGCGATACATGTGTAATGGGAACTCGCAGCACTGGGAACTTGTGCTTGTCGAGGAATGGCGCAACATAGGACAAGCCACAGGCGGGGGACCTAGCCAAGCAGGGCAAAGGACGGCGACAACGAAGAATGTCAGCGAGGCTCAGCCAAGAGACAAAAGTACCGCCGTGGCCCAGTGGTCTGTCTGTTGGGCGGAGTCTCCGGGGGCAGAGCAGGGTCGTGCTTTGGTTCGCTCGCTCTGCCAGCCAAAGACGTCATGCTCACCATCAGAGGGCGGCACCGGTTTGGTAACGAGTGGCTCGGAGAGGCCGGAACTGTCACTGGTGGGAGCGAGGGAGGATCTTCTAGAACCTAGAATCTAGAACCTAGCGTAGAAGGCTGGTGGTGGACAGGCAGCAGTCGCATCTGGCCGTTTGAACGTAGCGAAAGGACGAGTTTTTTTTTGGGGGGGGGGGTTGGACGAGAAAGGGACGAGGTAATGTCACAATGCATTGATGCGATGCGGGGAGTTGTGTCGCGTTGAGACGGATTTGCCTTGGTTGCGTTTGTTGGACGAAAAGCGCGCATGAGGGCGATGATGGACTGGATGGGAACTGGGTTCCACTGCGCCCAGAGGGGCTTGCCTGCAGGCAACCAGTACCGCCTTTGCTTGCTGTAGGCAGCCGGTAGCCAGCCCGGCCAGCGCAGTTGGCCGCTGTAATTCTGGGCAAGGCAGTGTGTGTTAGGGCCTATTCCCATTCTTCATCCGGTGCACACCGACAGCTATGTACATTCCAAGGCTTAATTGGCCCGAGTTGGAGTGTACTGTCCCCAAAGCCATTAGTTACTGGTTATCAACAGGAGGATGCTACCAGCGATACCTTGGCTGCGGTGCTAAATACCTCCAAACTGCGGCTACTGGCTGCGAGCAAAAAGTACACTCCATTAACCACATGTATCTCTGTCCCACTCACACACCTTGCTTGCCGATTCTGGCAGCCCCGGACGCACCTAAAACGAAACCCCGTGGGCAGCCACCAGCCAAGGCGTTTATGGTGAACCAACCTTTCCTGCCTGCCGGTTGGACGGATTCCCCGACTAACTAAAGACGAGGCTCTTTTTTCTTTTTCCTTACTTTCCCTCTGCAGAGGTACAAGGACTAAAAGAAATTCTAAAAAAAGGTCTGCAAGCGGCCGGAATACTCCACCACTCAATCAATGGCGATTTAATATAACCCTCCCCCCCTCGATCCCTGTTTTCTATCTCCATTTTCCCATCTTCCAAGGACACAGGAGGCTTGGGCTCGTCATCATTCACTGACTGTAGCCTCCAACACCGAAAGCCGTCCAACGCCCGCGTCGTTTTATATACACCAGCCTCCCCGCCAATCCCCCTCCGCCACCCCAACAGAAACCCTTATCCGGGTAAAATCCGTTCCGTCGCCGACCAACCTCATCAATCTCAACCTCAAATCTTCAACCTCAATTTCCCTCTTTTTTGCCTTGTCCCTCCACATTTACAACCATGGCTATCCGCGATCGCTTCCGTCGCGCCCTCCGCAAGTCCGGGGCCTCCGACACCGTCTCCCCGACCGAGTTAAGCACCGCCGGCAGCACCGCGCTGACCACGACCACCACAACCACAACCACAACCAGCCAATGCTCCTCCTCGCACGACGGGCCGCAGCTCGAGAAGACGACGTCCCGGTTGGCCCGCGTCCTCACGTTCAGTTCCTCCTCCGCCTCCTCGCCGGAGAAGGAGAGGGAGCGGGAGGAGAAGCGCGACCGCAAGGCCGCACAGAGCCGCCGCCGGACACACCCGCGCGACCGCCCGCTCACCACACAGAACATCCGCCACCAGGAGATGCTCTCGCACTTTCGCATGACGTTTGGCGCGTCCGACCCCACGCAGATTGAGACGATGAGCTTTGTCGGCGTGAGCCCGTGCTGCACGCGCAGAGGCTCGCTTGACCTCGACCCGTCAAGCCGCGGCAGCACAACATCGTTCTCGAATACTTCGTCGAGTGACTCGTCTCGAGGGGAGTAGGGCCGATTGTTCATGATCAACGGTCACAGGCTCTACTGTCGCGGCCGCAAGGGCTACGACCGACGATGAGCACACATCAACAACACGGCATGCAGATACATACACGGGCTGTGTGTATTGCTTTTTTCCCCAAATTTCTTCGTCTCTCGGGCTGCTTGGCATAGCAGACCCATGTATATACGGCTAGACATGTTATTCCGTCGAGACTTCTCGACAACGGTTTACGGTTCGGATCTGCACTGACTGGAAGCGCTCCGATCAGTGCTATAGAACAGGCGAACGGCAGTCTTTTTGTTCTTCTGTGGCCTTTATGTGTTTTATATCAATTTTGGTGTCTTTTTAATATTGCCTTGCTTTACAAGGCGTTGAGATGCATAGCGGTATTTATAGACATATGCGAGGCTGAATACACTGCTTTGCGGTATTATCCATTGTGTTCTTAAAAAAACATTCTTCCTAACAAAGGAAAATGCTCCTTCGTGCAGATTCTGACACGGAATCTCAGCGACAACCGGCATAGTCGCCGCGGGTAGCCATAGTAGCCGTCATCAGAGTGGTATCAGCCGGCCCGTTACTGCTACCCTTGAGTAACACCAACGGTGTTACACCGAGGCCTGCCGCACATCATTATCTTGTCTGGTCAATGTGTAGACGCCCAGTGTCTGTGCCAGTGTGGTTTCTAACACTTGGCCAACAAGTTTGCGTACGGGTGCATCATCTTTTGCATTTTCCCATGTCACGAGCTCAAGTCTACAGGGCATTGACCCTGGGTCCGTCGGGCTGGCCGACGACAGCTTCATATGTATGTGACAAATGTGGCAACAGATAAATTACGAAAGCCTTCATACGCTAAGATAGACACTGGAAGGTTCCGTACTCAAAAAGCGTTGCCTGTGAATTCACTCTTGTCTCATAACTCGCAGGCCAAAAGGCCGCGAGCATCCGGCTCAAGATCAGCACATGGAGCCCGAGGGCCTGCGTGACCGAGCATGGCAAAAGACGGCAGATTTACGAGAAAACAATAGTCACAATGCAGCACCTACCTACAGTCCATGACACTCGGCGTAACTCGACTGCCAAGGCGTTGGACAAGCTCAATTGTCACTCTGCAAAGGGGGTCTCGGAACTGGTCTCATGACGATGCCTGAGTGCGGAGAAAGTGCGTACTGATAATGAGAAGCAAATCATAAGAGGACCTTTGTGCATCCATTGACGGCGCGTAACAAGCTTTCCATCACATGAGCTGTTAAAGGCATTGTGCAATGAAGAGGGAGAGGATTCTCGCGGCCGCTAGAAATTGACTACGACAGGTTACAGCCCTAAGATTCAGGCAACCAGGCACCTCACGCTAATTTTGCCCGCCCTGCGCCTGTCCCGCTTTCGGACAGGGTCCTTGGAAAAATATTTGGATAACCCCGCGGCTGCATCAAGAAATGTGAATCGACGGGCAGCACGATTCCACAAGTTCACACACAATGTCGAACCTCCGCATCCTCCTCGTCGGCAACGGCGGACGTGAACACGCGCTCGCTTGGAAACTCAGCCAATCTCCTCGCGTCGAGTCCATCTTTGCTGTTCCTGGCAATGGCGGCACCGCGGGGTGCTCCAAGGTCTCTAATGTGACCTCTGTCTCTGCCGACGACTTCCCCGCCCTCGTCAAGTTTGCCCAGTCCAACGGCGTCAACCTTGTTGTCCCCGGCCCTGAAGCGCCGCTTGTCGACGGCATCGAGGGCTACTTTCGCGCCGCTGGCATCCCTTGCTTCGGCCCCTCCAAGGAAGCTGCACGTCTCGAGGGTAGCAAAACGTATTCGAAGGACTTTATGAAAAAGTACAACATTCCGACTGCCGCATACGAAAATTTCTCCGACTTTGATAAGGCCGTTTCATACATTGACACCATCAGCCACGATGTTGTCATCAAGGCTACCGGTATCGCTGCTGGCAAGGGCGTTATTATCCCTCAGGCCAAGGACGAGGCCAAAGCCGCTCTGAAGCAAATCATGGTCGACAAGGAGTTCGGCTCCGCCGGTAGCGAGGTTGTCATTGAGGAACTGTTGCTAGGTGATGAGCTCAGCGTCCTGACATTCTGCGACGGCTACTCTATCCGCTCGTTGCCGCTCGCGCAGGACCATAAGCGCATCTTTGACGGCGACCAAGGCCCCAACACTGGCGGTATGGGTTGCTATGCGCCTACAAATATTGCTACCAAAGAGCTTGTGGAGCGCATTGACAAGGAGATTCTCGAGCCCACGATTCGAGGCATGCGCCGAGAGGAGCAGCCCTTCCGCGGTGTCCTTTTCACTGGTCTGATGATCACCGCCACCGGCCCCAAGGTACTCGAGTACAACGTTCGATTTGGCGATCCTGAGACACAAACTGTCCTGCCCCTGCTCTCGGCCGAGACTGATCTTGCCCATATCATGCTTGCTTGCGCCGGCGGCTACCTGGATAACTGCAACATTACTGTTGACAACAAGTTTAGCGCCACGGTCGTGCTCGCTTCCGGAGGATATCCCGGATCCTATGCCAAGGGTACTCCCATGACTGTCGCCGAGCCCCCCGCCGGCAGCACCATATTCCACGCCGGCACCAAGCTCGACGGCCAGCAGCTCCAGACCTCTGGCGGTCGTGTCATCGCCATCAACTCGGTCGCTGATTCGCTTCGCGGTGCCGTCGACGCCTCCTACGCGGCGCTGGCAGCCAACGTCATTCAGTTTGACGGCATGTTCTTCCGCAAGGACATTGCTCACCGTGCGTTCCGTGCGGCCGGAAAGGAATCCATGACATACGCGCAGGCTGGCGTTGACATCCAAGCTGGCAACAATTTCGTCGAGAAGATCAAAAAGGCAGTTGCAAGCACCAAGCGCCCCGGTGCCGATGCCGAGATTGGTGGGTTCGGCGGCGAGGTCGATCTGTCTGCTGCAGGCTATCCCAATGCTCCCGTTATTGTCGGCGCCATTGATGGTGTTGGTACGAAACTGATGATCGCCCAAAACATGAAGAAGCACGACACTGTAGGCATTGATCTGGTCGCCATGAACGTCAATGACCTCATCGTCCAGGGTGCTACACCTCTCATGTTCCTCGACTACTATGGCTGCAGCAAGCTGGACCTTGCCTCGGCCGCCGCGTTCGTCGAGGGCGTCGCCGACGGCTGCAGACAGGCCGGCTGTGCCCTGGTTGGTGGCGAGACTGCTGAAATGCCCGGCATGTACCAGGGTGAAGACTACGATGCTGCTGGTTGCGCTGTCGGTGCAGTCACCGAGGATGCTCGACTCCCGAAGCTGGCACAGATGGCGGAAGGAGATGTCCTTCTGGGTCTCGCGTCTAATGGCGTGCACTCCAACGGCTTTTCCCTAGTGCGTCGCATCGTGCAGAGTGCCGGTCTTTCGTACACTGATCCCGCCCCGTGGGACAAGAGCAAGACGGTGGGCGAGTCTCTGCTGACGCCGACTCGCATTTACGTCAAGACGCTGTTGCCTGTTCTGAAGGATATCAAGGGCCTGGCTCACATCACCGGCGGCGGCCTCATCGAGAACGTCCCTCGCATGCTGCCCGAAAGCCTGACGGCCGAGATCCAATTTGGCTGGCAGATGCCCCCCGTCTTCGAGTGGCTCAAGGCGACTGGCAACGTGACGCCGGTAGAGATGTGCCGGACTTTCAACACTGGTATTGGTATGGTAATAGCCGTGGATGCCAGCAAGGCTGCTGCCGTGGCTGCCGCTCTTGGTGCGGAAGAGACCGTGTTCACTCTCGGCAGACTGGTCAAGCGCGACGGGCAGGTTGGGTGCGTCATCCAGAACCTGGACCGTTGGCAGTAGCTGGTTGCGTGACGAAGAATCGATGATTTACTGTATATACATAAAAATGATGCGAATGACTAAAAGGTATTAGGGCGAATAAAAAGATAAACAAGACATAAACAAATAAAAAATCAATAAAGACAACAAAAGATAATATAAAAATAAAGATGAAATCATCATTGGTTGTCTACCACCGTTGCAATCCTCGACGATCTGGCTCAGCAACTGAGCACCCGACTGGTGAAGGCAAGAGATTCGTCTGAGATCTTCTTGGGAAAGCGAATTGTCCATATGAATGCGACGATCTCTTAGTCCATGGGGGCTACGCATATCATGTTCTTTGACTACTACATTGGAAACTTCTTGGGAAACCAACGGTTCCCTACCTATGGCAATGCCCTTGCCCTTGCGAATTACACAATTGCTGGAGCTGGCACGTCGACTTCGCAAATGGGCAAGTACCTAGGTACTTGCACGACGGGATCTAACCTGATCTGCACTAGCTCGCTTTCTCACCAATTTCTCTTACTAGCTGCCCTGCATAACCTCACGTGCACACTCACGTGATCCACAAAATTCGCCTTGAACAACAGTGTGCCCTACTCGAGCCCCCACAGGCCCGAAAAAATCCATGGTTAAGCGAAGCCCCCCAGTGCTCTACTCTCTTCTTCCCTCCCCAAGCGAAACACCACCGACAACCTTTCTTGAGCACAAACGGCAAGACCTCATTGCCCATCATGTCGCTCGTGTCGGGAGAGAAGTCGAACTTCCAGTTCGTAAGTTCTTTCAACCGGATTCCCGCAGCAGCACTACCTCGATCCAATCCTTTGCCTGTCGCCGAACGTCACGCCTCAAAAAAATTCAATACTCGACCGCCCATGTTCGATATCGAAATGACAAACCAGAGTTGGGGAGATTCGGCAGTCAGCGACAGGCAATGCATTGGATACGCAGGCAGAGTGTCGCAAGTGATGGATGTCGACTCATGCTAACCTGCCCAGATCCTGCGTCTGTTGAACACCAACGTCGATGGCAAGCAAAAGGTGATGTACGCCCTCACCAAGATCAAGGGTGTCGGTCGTCGTTATTCCAACCTTGTCTGCAAGAAGGCCGATGTCGACCTGAACAAGCGGTATGCTCAATCAATCCACACTCGGGGCTCGTGTATCTGGCCGCGATGTCATTTCACACGAGGCCATTCCGTACCACCATGACCAACAACAACGACTAACAAAAATATTGCAGCGCTGGTGAGCTCACCTCCGAAGAGCTGGAGCGCATCGTCACCATCATCCAGAACCCTACCCAGTACAAGATCCCCTCGTGGTTCCTCAACCGACAGCGTGACATCGTCGACGGCAAGGACTCGCAGATCCTGGCCAACGGCGTCGACTCGAAGCTCCGTGACGATCTCGAGCGCCTCAAGAAGATCCGCGCCCACCGCGGTCTCCGCCACTACTGGGGCCTCCGCGTTCGCGGCCAGCACACCAAGACCACCGGCCGCCGCGGCCGCACCGTCGGCGTGTCCAAGAAGAAGGGTGGTTAGTGGTTGCGCGCGTGTTGTCGTGCTGCGTGGTCGTGGAAAAAGTTTTCAGCTACGTTTTTTGGGTGGGATTGGCGTGACGGCTGGTTTCTCCTTTTTTAAAACTTTTCCAGAGGGTTTGTGCTTTTCTGCATCTGCGGCAATGGGTGCTGCTACTCTAGATCAGAGTCATGAAATAAAATTAAATCAAATCACTGGGTGCCCGTGGACTGTGTGTGTGTATGCTCATGATGGAATGCATACACAAGATGTATCTCGGCAGCGTAATGCTCCATTCTACAAATGGAAACATGTCCTTGTTCAAATCACAGGTTCTTAAAGGTCGGTATCAATGCAGATTCATTATCGTCTACTCGTCATGCGTCACCGCCATGTCTAGCACTTCCACCCGTCCTTGTCCCTTTGTCTCGTTTGCGATGAAGTCGCTCAGTGGCTTGAAAGCCCCGGGCTCGACAAAGCCCACCACCTCCCACTCGGCGCCCATGACGTCCTGCGTCTCGACCTGCTCCACGTAGCTCAGGATCTTGTCCTTGACCGTACCTTTCTGCTGCTCGCCGTCGTCCTTGGGCGCCGCCTGCTTGGCCGCCTGCTTCAGCACGCCGGTGCCGCAGCTGATGCGCAGCCGCATGCGGGCGCGGGCCACGGGGATGGGCTGGTGTGCGATCAGCGCCTTCATGGCCTCGAGCGCCTGGCTCTTGGCGCTCTTGGTCGTCGAGACGCCCGTCCAGCTGTGCTCCTTCTCCTTGGGCCGCGGCTTGGCCTCGCCGTCCTCGCCGGTCGCCGGCGTCCCCGCCGCGCTGCTCTTGTCCTTGCTCTCTGTAGATGAGTGCGCCTGCGAGCTGAGCATGTCCAACGCCTTCTCGATCATGCCCGAGGTGTACACCCGCTTCGTCCGGGGATCGACGAGCTTGCTCGCCACGATGCTTATGACCTCGTTGTTGATGCGCTCGAGCTGCGCCGCGCGCTCTTTCTCGCCGACCTGCTGCTCGCCCTTTTTTAGGATCTCGAGGATGATGTCGTCTGTCGTCATCTTCTTGCCGAAGGCCTTCTCCAGGTCCTCCTTGGGCGCCGTCTGGCCCTTGGAGACGTTGAGGAAGACGTTGGGGATCTGTAGCACGTTGTCGAGGTCCGTTTCGATGCCGGAGCGCCACTCGAGAACCTTGTTCTTGTAGCAGGCAATCTCGAAGCGCTTTTTGCCCTTTTTTAGGCGCACAAGCGACACGTTGGTCAGCTTGATTTGATTCGACGGCTGGTTGATTTGGCGCGACATGGTTTTGTGCGTATATGTGTGTATTGATGCTTGTTCTGTATGTCCAGAAAAAAAGAGGATAGGCTTGAATTCGTAAATCGCTTTATTCGGAGATCAAGAGCATAAATAGTTGAAAAGTACGTGTTGCGTCAGTGTTCGATTTTGGCAGGTCAAATTTCGACCCCGCCATCTGTCGCGTGAAATCTTTACTGCCCCGCCTTCCTTGACTTGTGTAGAGGTTGACTCACCCATTCGATATTCTTGAGTCACCAGCCCTGCATAAAACTGACAACGACCACTGTGGCGAGGCTCTCAATTGTTCATCCCCCGTACAGAGGAACTAGTTTACCGCAAATTTCTCGTTGAGGCCATGGCTGCAGTCGACTCCACCGTGCCAGAGGCTGCCCCTCAGCAGGCGAAGCAAGACATCAACCCATGGTCCGTGTCGGGCGAGGTGGGCGAGGACGGCAAGGTCAAGGCGATTGACTACCGCAAGCTCATCGACGAGTTTGGCACATCTCAGATCGATGATGCGCTGCTGGCGCGCTTTGAGAAGGTGACAGGCCAGAAGCCGCACCGTTTTATGCGCCGTGGCATCTTTTTCAGCCACCGTGACATGCACGCCATTCTGGACCGATACGAGAAGGTGAGATATTTTGGCAAAGTAATTGAGTGTAACCTGAGTTCTAACGATTCTAGAATGAACCATTCTTCATTTACACTGGTCGTGGCCCAAGCAGCGACAGTATGCACATCGGTCACACTCAAGTGTTTGACTTTGTCAAGTTTGTGACCTTGTCTGGCCTGCCGCCTGCCAAACTGTAAACTGACCGTTACAGGTGGCTGCAGGATGTCTTTGACGCGCCCTTGATTGTTATGTTGACTGATGGTACGTAGTCGGATGTTGCCCGCGCGCTCTCGCTGTTGTGCCGACGTTGGCTGAATCAGTCGCAGATGAAAAGTATCTGTTCTCGGAAAAGAGAACCGTCGATGAAGTCATTGGCTACTCGAAGCAAAACTGCAAGGACATTATCGCCGCTGGCTTTGATATGAAGAAGACGTTTATTTTCTCCGACTTTGAATACGTCGGGGGTGCCTTTTACAAGAATATTGTCCGCTTTGCCAAGCGCGTCAACTTCAACACAGCCAAGGCGGTATTCGGCTTCGATGGAAGGTCAGTGTTGCTTATCCCTGGCGATCATTCTATACACTGACAATTGCAGCTCCAACATTGGCAAGATTCACTTTGCCAGTATCCAGGGTGCTACCGCATTTGCTGGCTCATTCCCGCACATCTTTGGCACGGACGAGGCCGCGACGGCCAAGATTCCGTGCCTTATCCCGTGCGCCATCGATCAGGACCCCTACTTCCGGCTGACCCGTGACTGTGCTGCCGGCCTCAAGTATGCCAAGCCGTCGCTCATTCACATGCGCTTCCTCGACGCCTTGCAGGGACCCGGCTCCAAGATGTCGGCCAGTGACGACACTTCAGCCATTTTCCTGAGCGACTCGGCCAAGGCCATCAAGACCAAGATCAACAGATATGCCTTCTCAGGCGGCCGAGAGACATTGGAGGAACAAAGGGAACTGGGCGGCAACGCGGACGTTGACGTCTCTTACCAATACCTGCAATTCTTCATGGAAGATGATGCGGTACGTGACATTCCTAGTGTGATTTGACAGCTACTGATACCATGCAGGAATTAAAGAGAATCAAGGACGAATATACCAGTGGCAAGATGCTGACCGCAGAGGTACGTTGCTCCCCCAACTCATTGAACTTAACTGACCACCTACAGCTCAAAGCCATTTGCATTGATTATGTGCAGAAATACGTCGCCGAGTTCCAGGAGCGCCGTGCCAAGGCAACCGACGAGGTGGTCGCGCAGTTCATGGCGGTGCGGCCGCTCGAGTGGCAAGGCAACCCCAAGGTGCCTCGCGCCGACCTGGTTGTGCCTGTTGTGGCAGCAGGTACCGAGGGAGTCGCCGCGGAAGGCGACGGCAAGTTGACCAAGAACCAGATGAAGAAGCTCCTCAAGGAGCAGCAGATTGCGGCGAAGAAGGCGGAAAAGGAGGCGGCCAAGGCAAAAGCGGCAGCGGGTGGTGCGTAGTGTGCAGGATTACGATGCACAAGGTACATGATCTATATGATTAGACGCAGAAGTTCATTATCAGGGATAAATCATGTAAACATTTTGTCCAACGTGTCTTGTCTGGCGGACACCTGTCACATTATGTATGGTAGTGGTACCTTGCGGAAGAGCCATCCGTCTCTTTCAGCGTCATATCAAACCCGACACAACTGTGAGACAGTTGTCAGGCATTCATTCACCTTGCTATCAAGGTACGCGACAAGGGTACGCTACCCATTGACAGGCCAAGTTCCCATGCAATCTCGAGTGACTGGCGGCATAAATAGCGCTGCCCCGATTTTGATGTGCCCGCATGCTAGTTATTGTGGGGCCGAGCAGACAAGCCAAAGGTACCTGGCCTGGCTGCTTCCGGCCCAAGGCCCAGAGGCCCTATCACTTTCGCACATAATAGCTAGGCAATTCTGTTAGCGTGGGTTGCCAGGCAGTCACCCTGTCGCATGAGTCGTCAGCATCGCCCAGGTCCCCGTTTCAGCGGCGTCATACATCGCCCATGATAGGCACACACACCTGGTCCCGTCCAGTCACCTGAGCGACGCTAGGTACGGCCTACGACCTGGAGAATTCCCCGCACGAGCCCAAGCTTTCTTCTCTTTCCATCATCACTCTTGTCACCTTTGCCGGCAGTCCATCCCGCTGGCAATTCATCCCTCAATCCATCCATAACATCTCCCCGGACAGCGTCGTCACCACCATGCGTTTGTCCACCTCGGTCGTGCTCGGAGCCGCGGCCACCGCGGTCGCTGGCGACCAAAAGATCCTCAACAAAGGCGACCACCACCACTCGCCCCTGAACGTCGGTGGCAGCGGTGCCGGCTCGCGCACCGGCTTCGACTGGTCCGTCGACTTCGAGTCTTGGGCCAAGCCGCTGAAGGTGCTCTACGGTGACATCACCTCCGAGGCCAAGGCCACCTGGGACGAGGTCTCTCAGCTGGCGCCCGAGGTCGTCGAGACGTTCAGGCAGAGCATCGCCGCGGCCGCGCACCCCAAGAAGATTCACAACCGCCCCGAATCCCACTGGGACCACATCATCCGCGGCTCTGACGTGCAGTCGCTGTGGGTCAAGGGTGACGACGGCGAGGACCGCCGCAAGCTCGGCGGCAAGCTCGACAACTACGACGTGCGCGTGCGCAAGGTCGACCCATCCAAGGTCGGCGTTGACACCGTCAAGCAGTACTCGGGCTACCTGGACGACAATGAAAAGGACAAGCACCTGTTCTACTGGTTCTTCGAGTCGCGCAACGACCCGGCCAATGACCCTGTCATCCTTTGGCTGAACGGCGGCCCCGGCTGCTCGTCGATGCTCGGCCTCTTCATGGAGCTCGGCCCGGCGTCGATTGATAGCAAGGGCAAGGTGGTCCAGAACCCCAGCTCGTGGAACAGCAACGCGTCCGTCATCTTCATCGACCAGCCCGTCAACGTCGGCTACTCGTACGGTAGCGGCACCGTGTCCAACACGGCGGCGGCGGCCAAGGACATCTACGCGCTCCTGACCCTTTTCTTCCACCAGTTCCCCGAGTACGCCAAGCAGGACTTCCACATCGCCGGCGAGTCGTACGGCGGCCACTACGTGCCCATCATGGCGCACGAGATCCTCTCGCACAAGGACCGTAACATCAACCTCAAGTCGGCGCTCATCGGCAACGGCCTCACCGACGGCTACACCCAGTACGAGTACTACCGCCCCATGGGCTGCGGTGACGGCGGCTACCCGGCCGTCCTCGACGAGTCCCAGTGCCAGTCCATGGACAACGCCCTCCCGCGCTGCCAGTCGCTCATCCAGTCGTGCTACAACAGCGAGAGCGTCTGGAGCTGCGTCCCCGCCATCCTCTACTGCAACTCCCAGTTCATCGGCCCCTACCAGCAGACGGGCCAGAACCCGTACGACGTCCGCGAGAAGTGCAAGGGCGGCAACCTCTGCTACGACGAGATGACCTGGATCACCGACTTCCTCAACCGCGGCGACGTCCAGGAGGCCCTCGGCGTCGAGCCCACCACCTTTGACAGCTGTAACTTCGACATCAATCGCAGCTTCATGTTCCAGGGCGACTGGATGCTGCCCATCGTCAACGTCGTCCCCGGCCTGCTCGAGAAGATCCCCGTCCTCGTCTACGCCGGCGACGCCGACTTCATCTGCAACTGGCTCGGCAACCGCGCCTGGACCGACCGCCTCGAGTGGGCCGGCCAGGAGGCCTACAGCAAGGCCAAGGACGAGGACCTGAAGCTGGCCGGCGCCAAGAAGCCCTACGGCAAGGTCAAGTCGGCCAAGGGCTTGACGTTTATGCAGATCTTTGAGGCTGGCCACATGGTGCCGTACGACCAGCCCGAGGCGTCGGTTGATTTCCTCAACCGCTGGATCGCGGGTGAGTGGGCCAAATAGAGTGGAATCAGAATCTACTTGGCGTGGCTGCAAGTCGACTTGTTTGGCTACATGGTTTCTATAGTTGGTTTAATATACATTGTGTTTTAGCAAAGCGTCTGATCATGTTAGCTCGCAACGTGAGAAGCCGCTGGCAGAAAAGCGGTCAAATCAGTGATGCTTTATTAAACGCTGTGTATAGAACGACTGTCGACGTAAAGATTCGCTAGCATTTGATGGGCAGTGTCATACAACCATCATCCAAACTTCCAATACTCTAAATTGCCATTGTCTTGCCTGGCCTCAGTCATGTATAAGAAGACGATCCACGTTGGTGAGGCTGGCGGCCCACAGTTAGGTATGCTGGGATTGCAGGGCAAATCGCATTCCTACCCGCATCCATGCAGCAGATGGTGATGCATCGCTACCATCAATTAGGCAGACGAGATATTATGCATATGAGCCACATGTTGGTGACGCGGTTCTGGACGCGTTCCTTGAGCCTGGCGAGAGCTCTCTTGAGCTTGACGAGGGCTCGCCTGCACTGCTCCCAAGGCCTACGCTGCTGCGTCGGTGGCTGCGTCGGTGGGGGCTGGGGCTTTGGCTGGACATTGGAGTCGGTGTCCTGTGCAGAGGCCGTGGAGGGCGAACGGGGTCCTGGGCACTGAGCATCTTGATGTTGCTCCTCCCATATGGTGGTGCTGGGGGTCCGGCTATCCATCGGGCCGTGCTTCTGAGAACGTGAGGGAGAATGAGGGAGCCGACCCACTAGCAGAAGGCGACGATGATGAGCCAGGCGAAGTAAGCTACTAGTGTGGTGAAGAGTATGCCTATGATGTTGATAATGATGAGGATGACGACGATGCTGAGCCGGGTGTAGTAAGGTGGTATGGCGGAGCGCATGCCTATGATAATGCTGACAATGGTGAATGTGTGTAGATGATGGACATCAACCGCAGCTTTGGGCGCAGGAGTTTGTTTTGCAGAGCTGCCATGCTGTTGCCATTTTGCACGGGTTGGTTGTCGCGGACAGGCAGTTGCGGTGCATCATGGTGATGGTAGTCGACTAGTTAGTTGTACAGTGAATGCTTGCATCGGACTTGCATCTGTTAACCATCTGACAGTTCCAAAAACGGAAACACAGACGGAGCGGAACGGAAGTAAGGATGTATCCCTGCCGTTCTAAACGGAGGTACGTCCCGTCACGCTGTACCTAATCTATCAGTACGGAGTCCTGAACGCCGAAATTGTTGAGGCAGCCAGCGCAATAAAGGTTTTTTGTCTTGCTTCTTGGCCTGCTAGCGGGCACTTCAGGGTCTAATAACTGTTGCAGTGCGCGCTGGAAAGCGAGCGTCGGGAAGTGCCTCGGTTTAGAGTGGGGAAGCAAGCGGTGGTCTTTACAGGATTATCGTCCTTGTTTTATTTGATTTCATCTTATTCTTATTTGCTGCGATAGCTTACGTATCGCTCAGCCTCAGTGAGTGGGCGACGGAATTGCGCGGCATGAAAAAGACAATTGCCAACGCATGTTGAAACATTACGTAGTCTATTGCATAATTCTTGTTTTTATTTTTTGTGTTTCTCGCCACTGCATTTCTTCATAGTTGTACTGCCAACTACTACCAGGAATATACTTCTCAACAAAACCTTTCCCAGCCCTTCGAGCCGCGAATCAACTGGCGCGCTCCCGGATGCCGAGAGGGTGTGGGGCGTCTGTCGTGTGCCTGGTGGCGGGCAGGTCCCCCAAGCCGGGACACCATTAGTGCAAACCGCAGAAGTGTGCGTAGATGCTAACAGATGCGGTGGAGCTGGTACCTGCTCAACCTGCACAGCAGGTTTCCCACCAAAATTCTATCCGCAAAATACCCCTCCATCGCTACATCCACGCCTCATCCCGCAACCAATACCGCTTTTCGTCTTTTATCTGCGGCTATCCGAGCCGCGGTTCTTTTGCCATCCTGATCTGTCTGTAGATTCTACGTGACGCTGACGGTCATTATCATGTGCCACAGCTTTGCCATCTTTCGGGTCCGTAACTGTAAAGACGCCGCATGTGGAGCGTGGTTCCCGCCAAGCAATACAAGCAATATTTGTATATACGTGACAGCAAACCTGGAACGGTTAATACAGCAACTGAGAGAAAGAAGAATTGCCACTCTCTGTAATAAATACGAAGGATCTCCAATAAATGCCTTAAACATTTGACCACTACTGAGCTGGTCTGTAGACCGCATGTTCACAGCCTCGGCTCCCATCTGCCTCTCCCCGCGACATCAAATCCCCAACATCTTGCCTCCTCCATATCTCCAACAATCCATCCACAACCACAGAGCCAGCCACTCACAGCTATCCACTGACAATCACTCCAATCACTCCAATCAATCAATCATCCAGAGCTTCCAGGAAGCGGACCACGGAGCAACAAGGCAGGGGGTGGCTTCTGCACTTCTACCTGAAAGGGGGTGGCGCTAGCGCAGACCACCACCCTGGGGCTTGGCCTGGCTTCCAATTGCCTTCGTCTCCTGCTCCACGGCTTCGTTTTTTTTTCCTTCTCTTCTTCCTCTCCTTGTCCGCAATTGTTTCCTCCCAGCATTGGCTCGTCGTCCGCTTGGTCCAAAAGATTGTTGCAGTCGCCTCTCTTCCATCGGCTCGACATACCTGTCTTGCCGCAGTTGTGTACCCCAACTCATCCGTTTAGCCACTCACACTCCCCTCGCCTGTGTCTCGGAACAACATCTTTTTTTCTTCTTCTTTACCGCCCTCTGAACGAACTTCCTCTCTTCCCTCCGCCGAACCGCGAGCTGCCATCCAAAATATTCAACACCCTTACAAACCAACAAACAACATGTCGGTGCCCTCTAGCATCATCGGCGGCCTGCCGTCCGCGAAGCTCTTCAGCTTCCCACCGCACAACCCGGCGCCCGCCGTGCCACCGCCCGCCGCGGCCTCGCTGTCCGTGATGCATCCGTTCAACATCCCCGATGGGCTTTTCCTTGGCGCGCTCGACGCTCGCGTGCCCATCACCATCGCCGCCCTCTACGCCATCACCGTGAAGCTGCTGAACAGGTACAACCGTGCGCACAACAAGCAGCCGTGGGCGATCTCTAAGACGGCCGCGTTCCGCCTTTTCGTCGTCCTCCACAATGTCTTCCTTGCGGTGTACTCCGCCTGGACCTTTTGGGGCATGCTCAGTGGCATGCGCCGCAGCATCGTCAGCCCACTCGGACCCGGAGGGCTCGCGGCCACCGCGGACAGCGCGTGCCGCCTGCACGGCGCACCCGGGCTCGGCAACTCAGTCTACTTCAACGAGCACCTGAGCCGGTTCGAGAGCGCGGGACCGGACGTGCCGTCGGGTGCCATTGACGCCGTCACCGGGCTGCCGAGTGCCGCGCAGGGTGGCCGCATCTGGAACGAAGGACTCGCGTACTACGGCTGGATCTTCTACCTCAGCAAGTTCTACGAGGTCCTCGATACCTTTATTATTCTGGCCAAGGGCAAGCCCAGCTCCACGCTGCAGACCTACCACCACGCCGGCGCCATGCTGTGCATGTGGGCGGGCATGCGCTACATGTCGGCGCCCATCTGGGTCTTTGTCCAGTTCAACTCGTTCATCCACGCCCTTATGGTAAGCTACTCGATAATCCGTTTATGTAAACAGATAGCTAACATTCCTAGTACACCTACTACACTGTGACAGCCTTCAGCATTCGCGTCCCCGTCTTCATTAAGCGCAGCCTGACCAGCATGCAAATCACACAATTCCTCGTTGGTGCCTCCCTCGCCATGTGTCACTCCTTTGTCTACTACTTTGCCCCCGCCGCCACCTCCACCGCCGCCTCGGACGCCCCCGGCGCCGTCGCCTCCGTCCGCGCGCTTCTCTTCGGCTCCGACGCCAGCCGCGTCAAGACCGTCGTCGACCAGGACGTCTCGTACGTGTCGCAGCCGTGCATCGTCAGCTCCGGCGAGACTTTCGCCATCTGGCTCAACGTCGTCTACCTCGCGCCCCTGACCTACCTCTTCGTCAGCTTCTTCATTGCGAGCTACGTCAAGCGCAGCAACGCCGCCAATAAGTTCGCCGGCAAGGGCGCCGCCGCCCGCCGCCTCAGCAACGTCAACGTTGACGTCGCGCTGGCGGAGAAGGCCGGCTGGGACGCTGCCCGTGGCCTCGAGCGCGAGGTGTACGGCGGCGAGCGCATGGTGCGCAGCGGTGACAACAGCCCCACGCGCGAGGAAGCCGCCGCCACCACCGCGACCGCGCGCCGCACCACCAGACGCCGTGGTTAAAAAGTGTTGATTGGGATGTAAAAGGTAAAGGAAGATGAGAAGGGGGAGGAGGGAGACGGTGCGAGTGCTTTCAGGAGAAAGACATTTGGCGAGATTGCACACGAGATCAGTGAGACGGACGAAAAAAGAAAGATGCTTACATGACATGGCGCAAGATGTTTACTTTATTTTCATGATTTGTCTAGACTTTCATTACAAGCACGGCCGCATTCATGTTCTGGTTGCCGAGGATCGAGAGACGTGTCGTTTCCTCGGTTGCTACTATACACGCAAAAAGTAGAAGGGTGCTTGATTTCATCGACCAAGGCGCTACAGGTTCAATATACAAGACATTGCAAACGATGTGATTTTCAAGTGTCATGGTGACGTGCTACGAGTGACGATTTCAACAACTGGTTGCGCTAACGTTTCCAAGGGTCAGCTGAAAAGTGCCAGAAGAATGTATTATGAAAGGTCGTAGACTCTTTCGTCAAGTCGCGAGCTCTCTAGAGCCGCCGGTTCCGCGCCAAAAGGCGAAACCTGAAAACGCTGAATAGATAATGCGGATGGCAAATGCTAAAATTGCAACAAATGCTAATATGAGCAAGATTCAGCTCGAAATCCCAAAGCAAATAAAAAGACCTAAAACTCCACGAGGTTGAAACCTGCCTCTTGTAAAACAAGTATAAAAAAGCCAAAAAAAAAAATAGAAGGGATTACCGGTTCCACAAACAGTGACCAGAGTGCACTGAAGTCTATAGAATGTAAGAATGGCCCTTTGTTCCGCCTGGACCGGGTATCATGGTGTCTTGATGGCTAGCCAGCCAGACAAAAGACGTGTATATGGTGGTGTATCGTAAAGCAGTGTGTATAGTAGAGCAAACATGCGAAGCGTCTAAAATGTGCTCCAGTTCCAGTCACGCGGGACACTGGCAGCAATGTCTTTGCTGCTTGGAAGATTGAACTCATTCTCAGGGTTGCCCTTTTTGGCCGCAATCGCTGTCGCGCCGCCCTTGCCGCTCGAAGAGTCAGACCCCGAGGACTGGCTGTTGTTGCGGGAGTGGCGGGCCCTGGCCTGCTCGAAGCAGTGATTGCAGGTGCGCGATGGCACGGCGCGAGGGTTGAAGTTGGCGTCCTGGTCGAGAGGCAGGACTGAGGCTGAGTGCGAGTCGCAAAAGATGTTACCACACTTGCGGCAGTGATGCCTGCGGGTGAAGTATGTAAAGGTGCGCTTGCACAGGGGGTCGTCGCAGATGGACGATTCCGTGTCGGGCTGTCGCATGTCAGTGCGCTGTCCTGTTTCGCCGGCGGAATGTGCCTGTCTTGCGGCGGCCGAGGATCCAAAACATACCTTCCAGTGCTTGCGCGTTGGTGGCGAGGTGACGTCGGGATACATTGCCAGATCCCAGTCACCCTCGAGACTCTTGGAGCTCTCAGTGGTTGAGCGACGGCTGAGGCGGTGACCGATAGCACCGAGGCCGGTGAGGCTCAGCAGATTGGCCGTGTTGGTGCGACGCAAGGTTGAGTCGGAGCCCGAATCTGACGAGCTACCGGGAGAGCGGGAGAGCGGTTGCTGAGGCGGGAATTCATAGTTGGGGCGCAAGACGGCGGGCATGTAGAGAGGGCGTGCAGCGGTGTTGTTGCTGTGAATATTGCTGCGAGAGCCCGACGTTCCGCGTGGAGAGGGCGGCGTCGAGGCGTAGTGGCCAGTGTTGGCATTTGCGACATCAGTGTTGATGTGGAAGCGAGGGCCAGCGCGGGCAAGGTTGTAGGACTGGGAGCGGCCGTGTTGAGCAGGGCGATGGGGGAGAAAGTGGCGAGACTGCTGCTGCTCGCCAGGCAGTGTGGGCATGATGAGCTGGGCGGCCATTGTGTATGGAGGTAGTTTGTAGATCTGCCAGTGACCGAATGAATTATTGAGGAAGGCTGTTCGAAGGCCTGGTGATGTAAGAGGGCCGTTAAGAGGGCGTGGCTACGATGCGGAGAGAAAGAGATTAAAGAACTTGGCTGCGTGTCTCTGTCCAGGGTCCCCTTGGTGTTTTGTTGGATGGGGGCAGGCAGAGGAGGGGTGGTTGACAGGGTGGGAAGTGATCGTCGGGGAATGGAATTGGCGGTTTGCGGTGGCCCGGGAGGGGAGTAGGGGGGTCCCCAGTCGGTATTAATGGAGGTGTTATCGGTTTGAGATGGCGGCAACCCAGGAGCGCGGAGCTGACTATCGTAGCGCGGCAATTGGTCGGAGGAGAGGGCGGGCTCGAGTGAGGTGGGTGAAGTGGCAAACTGGTGATGGTGGTTGGTGGATGGCTGGCTGTGGGAGGCCAAAGACTGGAGACTTTTTTAGTGGACTAGGCGGTGTGGGCGATGAACTCGTCTCGTGCGTGCAGGTTAATGCAACAAAAGATGACGGGCAGTAGGCGGCGGGCAGCCAGGCACTGATGTAATGCGGATGGTGAAGGATGTGGTTATTGATGCGGAGGCGTTGTTGAAGAATATTGTGTAAATTGTACAGATTACGGTGATGAAGACAGCTTGTAGATTGACAGCTGGCATCATCATACCAGTAGGAGATTCCGAGGAAAGTACCTTTTCCTTACCTGATTCGGTAGGTTATGTATGTATGTACGTTCCGCTCTCAGTAGCCGCTCCGAGTGGCTTCGCACTGGTCGGACAGGTCGGCCGACGCCGGGGGGCTAGCACGAGTCGTGTGGCTTGCATTGTTCAAAGGGCGGGCAAAAAAGAAAAAAAAAGAAGGAAATGACAAGCCTTGTCATTTCTGCTATTGATTACAGCAGCTCGTGCGCGCCCCTTTCTTCTCGTTTTAACTAACTATCAGTGTGATGCGAATCTCTCTGTCATGCTCACGGTGCCATCCCGCTCTCGACTTGCCTTCTGTAAATTTAGTGCTCTTGAGGTATTTCCAGCAAATCTGTAAACCTTGATCTACAGCCAATCACAGTCACTCCCGTCCCAATTCCCACCATTCATAGGCCGCCAAAATGCACCCATAATGCCAGCCAGGACGGAATACGCCGGCGCCATCCTCCGCGGCACCCTCCACTTCATCGCAGCCGTCTTCTCTCTTTGCCTCTTTGGTCTCTCATTGCCCCTCCACGCCGTCGCCAACGAACGGGACGTTCAGGCCCGCCTGTGCGGCATTTCAAGATCCTAGCAACGAGCCCAGCAACCCTTGATCCTGCACGTCCAACCGTTTCTCGTCGAGATTGATGAACACGTCTTGTGCCTCGCATCAGTCGTGAGCAGCCTCGCCTCTAACTGCTAGACAAGACTGTCATTAACCTTTGACCTAGAGCATCGCCAAGCAAACAAATACACCAAGCTATCATCCCTCGCAGCCCCCATCTGCAAAGCCTAAAGCCGAGCGGTTCGCCACTCCTCCGACTCTTTTCTCGCTCTGTTTCCAAACACGGCAGACTGTCATGCGCATCTCTTGGCCTGTCTCCTGAATGGCAAATGCCCCGAACCCCTGCTCCAGGGATTCTTTTCACTGATACCAACTACTCGCCAACTGGCCACCTTGACCGACCGACCGAGCTGTCTCCACCATAAACTGCCATGTCTTGGATACTGGTATCCGCCACCATTTCGCCCGACATCCGTGTTTGTGCTTGCTATCCCCTGCTCTGGCCTACAGAACGAATCAAGTCCGTTGCTGTGACTTGATCTGATACCACCAACATTTCGACATGTGACCACTTCTTCAACAATAAGCCACAACGCTAGGTCGACAAAGGAGTCAGATGCAATCTCACCATGCTGGGCCGGCAAGCCTCCTATGTAATAAGAGCCATGGCATCGCAAATTGGCGCCAGCGCGAATCCAGTAGGTCGCTGACGTACAAGCAACTCATAGCCCGCCCCTTCAGGCAGGACGGTCATCCTAGAGAATGAACTACAAATCGAACCAAAGGACAAGCTTTTATCCGCTAAACTTATTTAGCAGTGCTACCTATTGATAAATTACGTCCATCAGTCATGGATTTTCGCCGTCAGTCGCCGGCGCACCGGGAACCCAAGACGGCAGAGAGGCACGCGCGAGACAGGTTACCACAGACTTTTCCAAAAGCGACAGCAAATCAACTGTCGATTCGACATGCCGCGATCCACCATTGACCCAGGAGATGTCACCACTGCATCTTCCCCGGAGAAAGCAAAAACTGGGCTCGCCAGTTTTCCCAAGAGGAGCCCTGTACTCCGTACTGCGGCGCTAGAATTAACAACGCCGCCGCTATTGGCTCCAGCCCTTCTAGAACCCTGGCCATCTTCAGCCTCCATTTTTCGCCGAGGGATTGCTTCGCCGCTGCGGCCCACAATAGCGCCGTCCACTGACTTGTGCCTAGATTAATGAGGCTCTGCACCTGGCTCTTCTGGAGTTCTTGGCGGCGACAGGCCTCTTGTCATGCTGAATACGAGGCTAGCTGACCTATCTTTGCCACGCCGCGGCAAATCCGACCGTTGGCCCCCAGATGAGCTACACGACGAGCCGTTGCCACTGCAACATCACCACGCTGGATGCTGCGAGCCTCGCCGTGCCAGAGTCAACAGCAGAGAGATTGGATGCTAGTAGCATCGAAAGCACCCAGTATCGAATCCACTTATACATCTACATCCGTCGACTAATAAATCGTCGAATGCACCTGAGGTCCTTCATCAGACTGAACCTCGCTTACAAGTATGAAGTAGCTATCGCGTCCAATGCGCAACGTCATCGCATAGAATGACCATGGGCTCCGGGGATGGGCACCGGGGTTGCAACATGTGAACCAGTCATGCCCTGGAAGAACCCAGTCTCGCCAGCCTTATTTTGTCCAATATCAGAGTGGGTATATAACCTACCTGACATATCTCATGCATCATGCTCAGCCAATGGGTACGCGCCCAGGGTTGAACTGCATGTAAATATATTATTCATATATCCCATGCAGCAAGTTTGATGGCACCTCGAGTGGGCTGAACTGCATAATCTATTCTGGATATCAACCTCACCGGCCAATGGTTATACATACTGAAGTGGGCTGAACTACGTTCAATCTATTCACGACGATAAAATAATATACTATTTTATTTTATATATCCATGCTGACATATGTAGTACGAGGTAACAAATTCGTCGACGGATTCGACATCGTCTCAAAAACCAAGTTAGAAGGCATCTGCTGCCTCATTTGTGTCCTGTATTGGTGCGCAATGTGCAGGCACACGCTCCTTTGCAGTCAACCAGCAGTACAAGACTATACACAAATTGCTCTTATGAGAAACTATCTCTGTTATTTCTCTACAAATTCTGCCTGGAGGCCTTCCAAACACGTTCATCTACTCAACGCCTCGCCAAAATACAGTTGACAATCATGACCCTCATCGGCCCAGCGACGTGAAATATTATGCACCAGGGTACACTCTCTTCCCCCGGATCCATGTCTCCGCCACCTTGGCATCCAGCAGCATCTCAGCATTCCACTCCATGTCCACCACCACCAGATCCGCATCCCAACCCGGGAGCAGCTGTCCGGCCTTATCCTCGGCGAAACAGCTGCGCGCAGAGCCGCGCGTCGCCGCCGCGACGGCCGCCGCGAGCGACAGCGCAAACTGCGGCGTCGTTTGCATGGTGTTGTTGCGCTCCAGGGCCGACCTCCTGGTCGTAGCCACGTACAAGTTGGCAAGCGGGTTGTACGGCGCGGTGGGCGAGTCGGTGCCCAGCGCTAGCGCGGCACCGTGCTCGGCAAACGCTGCATAGGGAAAGACGTGCCCGTTGCGCTCCTTGCCCAGCAGCTTCTCCCATGCGGTAACGCCCGCCGGGTCGAGGTGCACGGCCTGGACGGACGCGGTGATGCCGAGCGCGCCGAGGCGCGGGACGTCCTCGGGCGCGGTCGTCTCCAGGTGCTCGATGCGGTGCCGCGCCGCGGGGTTGCCGACGGCCTCGAGCCCGTTGATGGCCAGCTTGATGGCCGCGTCGCCGATGGCGTGCATGGCGATCTGCAGGCCAGCGGCGTCGGCGCGGCGGAGTACCGGCTCGAGCGCCTCGCGCGTCCATATGGGCGCGGCGCTCTGGTTGTTGTGCGAGTACGGCTGCTGCATCGCGGCGGTACAGGCGTCGACGACGCCGTCGGTGATTATCTTGATCCCGGCGATACGGCACCGCGGGCTGGTGTCCTTGTTGTACTGCTTGTGCAGCTCGATGGCGCGGTCCACCTGCTTCAGCGTCTCCTCGGACGAGGCCCTGGGAAAGATGAGCCAGTGCGCGGCCAGCCAGATGGGGAGCTCGCCGTGCGCCTGCCGGTACTCCTGGATGGCCTCCCAGTCCTCCTCACCCATGGCCATGTCTATGGCGCCGGTGTAGCCCGAGGTGGTGTAGGCGTCGAGCCCGGACTGCAGGTGCGTCTGCTTCTCCTTGGCCGTCTGCTTGCTGGCCAGGAACGACCAGACAATATCCGACGCGGCCGTCTGCTCCATGACTCCCGAAGGCTTGCCGTCCGGCCCGCGCCGGATGCGGCCACCGGGAGGGTCTGCCCTGTCCGCGACGCCGAGCTCGTCCAGCGCGGCCGTGTTGAGCCACGCCGAGTGCATGTCTTCGGCATCGATGTACACGGGGCGGTTCTTGCCGTCCGCGTCGAGGCCGTCCAGCTGCGTGGCGAGCTCGTTGCCGTCGGTCGACGGGTGGAACCAGCCCCGGCACAGGATGCGCGGCAGGTCCGGGTGCTGCGCCGCCCAGGCGCGGATCGCCGCCTGGATCTCCCCCAGGTTCTTGCTCGCTCGGATGTTGAGCTTCTCCAGGCCGGCGCCGGTCTGGGCCAGGTGCGTGTGGCCGTCGACGAAGCCGGGCAGCACGACGCGGCCCTGGACGTCGTGGAGGACGGCGCCGGGCGCGGCCTTGGCCTTAATCACGGCGTCGTCGGTCTCGTCGCCGACATGCGTGATCTTGCCGGTTGAAGCATCGAGAACGACGGCGCTGGCAAATCGGTCAGGTGCATCGCCGTCGGCCGCGATGAAGACGTTACCATTATGTAGAATGGTGGGTATGGAGGAGTTGGTCGCCTTGCAGGTGCGAGAGGCAAGCACTGTAGATGAAAGAGAGAGAAAGGTAAGAAACTTCAATGATGCGTGCATTTTGATTGAGTATAGCGTTACTGGGGCTTCGAACTGTGGCTTGATATCGCGTCTAATGACATCTTGGAATCCAGTCAGTTTATAAGTGTCGCTTCGTCGGGCCTCCGGCCTCCGCGGGCGCTGGGGGCTGGCATCGTCCGATTGCCGATGGCGATGTCAAGCCCATCGAGAAAGGCGCAGCACGTGCACAGCCTGGATATTATTGCGCAGGTTTGTAAAATTCACCCCGCAAGGGATATTAAACCAGATGACGGCAGTTGAAGCATCGTCGATAGTGGCGTGTGTTCCTGGCCCGAGTGACGTGGGGGTGGAGTCGTCCGGAGCTTGCATGAATCTCGGCACGGTAGGCCAAGTGCCGTTTCATGCAACGTGAAAGGTTGTATGTTTCCACAAGACACTCATAAATAACAGAGATGGCTGGTTTGCGTGCGAATATGATGTATTCAATTGTAGTGACTTCGGGTTTCCGATTGTGTAGGACAACTCCAACAAGGCGATAACACAGGCATGGTATTGCAACACGCAATATCCAAACTATAGAAATACCATGGAATAGCCAAGCAGTGTTATCTCGAGCACTGACCCCGTCGTTACGCACCCAATCATATTCCTTTCCGAGTCTCCAACGATCCTCGCCGAGTCGATCTTGGCTATGGCTAGTGAAACCTGCGCCTCCTCTCCGGCAAACCTATTTTATGCATATCGTGAGCCCGCGGCATCCGCGCACATGATTGGTATATCTATAACGAACGATTTATCGTCCGTGCTACATAGGAAGATCCTGGAAGCTTGCGTGGCAAGTTGTGAGTGTGTGGTTGCGTGGTTGCCCGTCGCAGGCCAACCTCCGCGTGTCCGAAAGAAGCAGGAGCTGCATCAGATCCAGATGAAAGGAAGCCCAATATTAGGCTCTGGCTATGATACTGAGATCATTGGGAACGTGCGGCTGTACGCAGGCAGGCCAGCCAGCATTGAGGCTGCGCAGCAATACTACCATGAGCCCGCTTTTCGCCGCCGCTAGTGAAGAAGGGCTGTCTTTCGTGGCAAGGCAAAGTATGAATATTTCACTGTTATAGAATTTCCTTATCTAAACAGTTCAATAGCAAGCGGTATAGCCGATATAGGGCTCCGTGTGGAGGCCGGCGTGTGCGGCGGCTGTTAGCGGTTCGGCGGATCGGACCTGCACGGAGTAGTAAGCACAAAGGAATGGGCAAAATGTTTCAACAAAATAATTGAAATCAGTCAGAGTGGTACATCGAGCGGTCAACTGGAATAATATTTATCCCATCTCGGAAAATCTCGACAGAGCACCTTTCCTGGTCACACTGTCAATTATTCAGTGTATCACCAGGAACTGGCATTGGAAATACCCGCTCACCTGAGACAATCTATCCGGCATTATATCAACTATTCCCATCGAGTCATCTCACAGGGCGTTTTTGACAGTGACATCGATGCGCCTTTGTTGACTTCGCTGCTTCCCTCTGCTAAGCACTTAGTAGATGGGAATGGTAGGCCGTCTTCGGAGCACGAACCAATCAGAGCCTACATATTTGCCCCTCCAAGAGCTTCACCTCGCCCTTGCAACCCCACCTGGTGGTGACTCCCAAAGTTTTCTCGTCTCTTCCGTCTCGCATCGGCCCGGACGGCTTCTTGTTTACTTCTTTATATACTCGTCCCGTTTTCTTCTTATCTATAACCTACAGATTGGCTATACGCACCCGTGGGAGAAACGCGCCCGAAACATTGTCTACACTGCCCCTCGCCACTCGATCCATCTCTGCCCCGCCGACTTGCTCGATTGCTCCGCCCACGATGCCAATGTACGCCGCCTGACCCCGCGTTTGCGATTGAAGCTGGGATTTTGTTGCTAATTCATTGTCTGCTCGCAGGCTCAAGGATCCGTCGAAAAAATACAAGGCGTTCAAGGCATGCCATACCGCACGCCACGGTGCCTGTTCTCTGCTGACCTGTTAGCCCGTGAAATTGGCCAACCGCCAATGGCCAGACAAGACGATTGACAAAGCCCCTCGCTGGCTGTCGTACGTACCCCAGCGTCGATACTATAAATCCGACTTGACCTTTGGATCCTCACTTACACGAATAGGTCCTGCCTCCGTGATGGCAACCAAAGTCTGCCCGATCCCATGGTGCGCTGTCGCCCTCCCTTGCATTGCTACCCAACTAACACTCTCAGAACGGCGACGAGAAATGGGCTTACTTCAAGATGCTGTGCGACCTCGGCTACAAGGAGATCGAAGTCTCCTTCCCCTCGGCGTCGCAGATCGACTTTGACTTTACCCGACGCCTGATTGAGACCCCCGGTGCCGTGCCCGACGACGTTTACCTGCAGGTGCTGTCGCCGTGCCGGCCAGACCTCATCCGACGCACCGTCGAATCGGTCCGTGGCGCCAAGAACGCCATCATCCACATCTACCTGGCCACCAGTGCGTGCTTCCGGCAGGTAGTGTTCGGCTACACCGAGGAGCAGACCCTGGCGCTGGCCGTCGAGTGCGCGACCCTCGTGCGCTCCTTAACCAAGGACGACCCGACCACCGCCGGCACCAACTGGCAGTTTGAGTTCTCGCCCGAGTGCTTCTCCGATACCAGCCCAGACTATGCGGTGCGCGTGTGCCAGGCCGTCAAGGCCGCTTGGGGCCCTAACTCCACCAACGACAAGATCATTTTCAACCTGCCTGCCACGGTCGAGCTCGCGACGCCCAACGTCTACGCCGACCTCATCGAGTACTTTTGCACGCACATTGGCGACCGCGACAGCGTATGCGTCTCTCTGCACCCGCACAACGACCGCGGATGCAGTGTCGCTGCCGCCGAGCTCGGCCAGATGGCCGGCGCGGACCGCGTCGAGGGCTGCCTCTTCGGTAACGGCGAGCGCACCGGCAACGTCGACCTCGTCACCCTAGCGCTGAATCTGTACACGCAGGGTGTCAGCCCCAAGATTGACTTTTCCCAGCTCAACCCCGTCATCGACATGGTCGAGTCGTGCACCAAGATCCCCGTGCACCAGCGCGCGCCGTACGGCGGCAGCCTCGTCTGCGCCGCCTTCTCCGGCAGCCACCAGGACGCCATCAAGAAGGGCTTCCAGAGCCGGCAGGCGCGCGGCCTCGCGAGCGACGACCCCTGGGACGCCATGCCCTACCTGCCGCTCGACCCGCAGGACATTGGCCGCAACTACGAGGCCATCATCCGCATCAACTCGCAGTCAGGCAAGGGCGGCAGTGCCTTCATCGTCCACACCAAGCTGCAGCTCGACCTGCCTCGCAGCTTCCAGGTTGCCTTCTCCAACGTCGTCCAGCGCCGTGCTGAGGAGCTGGGCCGCGAGCTGCTGGCCAATGAGATTACGGACCTCTTCGAATCGACGTACTTTCTCAACGACAACCCGCGCCTCACCCTCGTCGACTACAGCATCACGCCGGATCGCACCGAAGGCACCGTCGCGCCGGTGGACGGCAAGACGCCGGACACCAAGAGCGCGATGCGTATCTTTGAGGGCGTCATCGTCCTCGACGGCAAGGAGTACAGGCTGCGCGGCAGGGGTAACGGTCCAATCTCCAGCATGGCCGCCGCGCTCAAGGACGTCGGCATCGACTTTGACGTCAATGACTACAAGGAGCACGCCATTGGTGAGGGTCGCAGCGTGAAGGCCGCCTCGTACATTGAGTGCAAGCCCACCGGCATGAAGCAGACCGTGTGGGGTGTCGGCATCCACGAGGACGTGGTGCAGAGTTCTCTCCTGGCCTTGTTGAGCGCCGCCAGCAACGTATGTCTACTTCCAATCACAATCTTGGAATTTTGTCGACTAACAAGACTTAATAGTTCATGACGAGCCGGCCTGCCAGCCCCGTGTTGAAGCCCAGAGTGGCGCCGATCTCTTGAACCACCTAAAAGTTTATGCATTTCTAGCAATATGATGATATAGTACTCTGCTTCATCTCGTGTAACCCAATGTAATGAATAAGCAAATTTAGCAACCTTCCAATCCTAACATGCCGCCGTCGTCATATCTAGTCCTAACTCGTACATTAATCCTCCTCGGCTCGCAGGAGACTCGTCTCTTCGTCCGGGACGCGGGCCGGCTTCTCCGCACCTGGCGTCTTCTTCTGCAGACCGACCCAGACGGCGGCGCCGATAATCAGCGCGCTGCCGACGAAGCTCTCCGGCGGGGGCGTGGTGCCCCAGACGACACGCTCGATGACCAGGGCGGACACGAGCTGGGTGTAGATCATGTTGGTGGCACGGCCGGCGCGCTCGCGCTGCAGGCCCTCGGTGAGCAGGACCTGCAGCAGGAAGCCGGAGAGGCCGATGGAGAGGAGGAGCAGCCACTGTGGCAGCGTCTGCGGCGCCTGGAAGCCGACGGTCGGGTGGAGGAGCAGCACAGCGGCGGAGAGGACGGTGGCGGTGACGGCGAAGTAGTTGACGCTGACGAGCGAGTGCACGCGCGTGCCGATGACGCGGATGGTGGCGTAGGCGGTGGCGGCGGCGAAGGTGCCCCCGACGGCGAGGGCGACGGCGAAGGAGCGCTCGGCGGGCGTGGCGGGCACGGGCTTGAAGATGCCGTCGAGCGCGTGGAGGGTAGAGTTGGAGGAGGGGGGGTCGGGGTGGTGCGGGAAGAGGAAGCTGGGACGGGCGATGAAGAGCACTCCGGTGAGGGCGATAAGCCCGGCGACGCCTTCGACGACGGTGAATGGTTCCTAAGAGGTGTTAGTGGAGAGATTTGGGAGGAGGAGGAGGGTTCGCACTCGTAAGGCAACCCAGCAGACGAAGCTGGTCAGCGTCGGGACGAGGAAGGTGATGACGGTCGAGTCGGCAATGTCCAAGAAGGACAGCGAGTCTGAAGTATCGTCAGCGAGGGGGATAATACGACACGGAAATGGTGGCAAGGCGCGTTAACTCACAGTACAGCCCGAAGAGGCCGATGGTGCCCGCCGCGCCGCGCAGCACCAAAAGGCCCCGGACGCCCGGCGGGCCGAGCGGGAAGTCCGGCACGCGCCGTAACCACATGTACGCGGAGCCGATGGTGGCGGTCATGGCCATGCGGACGAAGATGACCTGCAGCGCGTGGAACTTGGTCTCGAAGCCGGTCTCGAGGAGGCGGGTGGTCATTGCCATCTAGGCGGGAGGGTTAGCGAGTGCGATGAGGGGTTCGTTGGACGGGTAGACGGTGTTGGAGGGTGTGAGTTGGAAGGATTCAAGGTGGGCGTACGATTGAGGCAAATATTTGAGCGAGAAAGACGAAGAAGAGACCAATGTTGTTGTGGTAGAAGTGCTTGGTGCGGACCCAGAAGGTGGCGGGCTGGTCGTCGGCGGGAGAGGCTGCTGCGTCGGGCGAGCGAGTAGGCGATTCGTGGCTGGTGCCATCGGCCTGGGCAGCTGGGCTGGTAGCCGGCTCGGCGGCAGTGTCCGGCGCTGTCTTGACCGATCCGTAGCTCATGACGGGATGATGTGTGATGTTGGCTGCAAATTCACGCCGGCGACGGAGCTCGGGCTAAAAGTTTTCACGAGGCTGGGCTCGGATTCAGGGTAGTAGCCACGATGTCTCAGTTGATTGGCGCCACAAGGGTTGAGGTATCGGTGAATTGCTCGGTTTGAGGATGGTATGAAAATTTGGCAGGCTGAGAATGAAAAGTGAAGTTGCCGACGGTGAGCTCATCGACGTTGAACTCTCCGGAAAACGGCGCTAAGTCGTCACCGATCCACCAATTGGCGATATCGCAACTTGGGCTTGTACTGATGAGTGAATGAATGCTTAAAATATGTCATTTTCTGCGAAAACGAATGAAATCTAATTATATAGATATTCAGTGAGATGGATGCTGAGGCTCAGTTATTGCAACCACTGGTCTACGCACTGTCCAAGTTTGGTTCCTCTCGACCTTTAAACATGTACAGCACCGTGTTGCCGTCCACCTCGGCGTAGCCCACGTCGACGAAGCCCATGCGCCGGTACATTCCAATGGCCACTTCGTTCTCCTCCCTCACGAGTATCGACACCAGGCACGACTTGCCCTCAGCGGCGGCCGTCTCAAACGAAAACGCCAGCGCCCGTGCGAACACGGCGCGCGCGATACCGCGCCGCCGCGCATCCCGCGCCGTGTACACGCCGTTGACGGCCCAGTGCAGTAGCGTACGGGAGTCCTTGTCGCGCTCCTCGGGGACCAGCCCGGCGGCCATGGCCAGCACCGGAGACGGCTGCGTCCCGCGGATGAGCGTCAACGAGGAGAGGATCCGCCGATCTGGGGCGGCCTGGACGGCAACAAAGGTCGTGGCCTCGGGGCGGGACACGCGCCGTCGCCAAAACTCGTCCTCCTTGGCGACTTCTGTTTCGTACGTGGATCCAAAGACTGAAGCTCTTGTTAGATGATGGGTCTATGCTGGTTTGAAGTTGCCAACACGCACACTGAGGATCTGTTTGCAACGCTTGCAGTCGAAACGGCTTGTAACTGGCCAAGAAGAATTCCACGCCGGCCTCGTCGGGCGTGATCTGCTCCACAGTATAGTTCATCGCGGTTCAATTTAACCTTCTCTCGCATTCAAGGGTCAAGTATGAATGTCGGAGGAGAATATCAACGACAAGGCTGTGACTCAGCGGGGCTAGCGCCACCAATAGTTGGTCATGCGACAACTTCATGCGGCGATGGCATAACTTCCCAGCATGGTGTAAACATCCCAGCTGGACAACTCTGCGTTTTGCTTCAACGCTTCCGTCGTCCTCTGGGCCATGGCAAGGCCGCCGACATCCGCCACCAGACCAAGCACGTCCTGCGCCCACCCGTGGAGACGCATATCGCGGGACGCTTGCGTGGCCAGATAGAGCGGGAAGAGAACGGTATAGGTGCCGAGCTGCTGCATGGGAGAAATCAGGTCCCACGCGAGGGCGCCTTTTTCGTCGCGCGACACCAAGTACTGGGCGAGGCTGTCGCATATCGCTTGTGCGTCTGTCTCGATGGAACGCCGTGTAGACATGGCGAGATCCGGTTCTTTGGCAGCTGCGTACCGCTCAATCATCAGGAGCAAGTTGAGCCGAGCCGTACGGATTACGTTGCGGACCTGGGTAAAGTACAGGCTATCGTAGACGTCGTACGAGCCTGCCCGCGTCAGTCGCCGGCCCAGAGTATTGTTGCCGACAAAGATCCGCAAGGGAGTCCAGCATGATGGCAATTCATCTTCCATTTTTCCAATCAATCGGTGAAACTCCGAGGCTTGCGTGAGTATTTGATCCTGACATGATATCTTGCCCGATTGCACATCCGAGGTAAAGTTGATGATTTGTTCGTTCAATGTGGTCAGAGCCCACTTTGGATCGTCCTCAACCTTAAAATATAGGCCCAGATCAACCCTCAGGCGCTCCATCTCATCCGGTATCCGCATCCCCGAAACGGCGCAGCTTATGACAAGTGTCGTGTACAGCCGCTGCGTCAGCCGGCGACCGACATAAGTTTGCAGGTTGCCTTTCCCCCGCGCCCGAATCAGCGAGACGGCGCCGTTCATGTGCCTCATACGAGACTCGGGCGAGGCGCGCCTGCGGCTGACGAGCTTCTCGTAGAGGTCAAGCAGGAGGACCGACTGCAGCGTGACGTCAGCCAGCGAGGCGACCGGGTCTGCGAGCGCGGCGTTGACGAGGTGTAGCGCCGCGATGTAGCGCTCGGTCGCGAGCTTCATCATATCCCTTGGCGGTGAGAATTGGCGAAGCGCGAAAAAGGCGAGGCTTGCGGCGTCGACGCTCGCGACAAGGTGGTCGGGCAGGTTCGGCGCCTGGATCAGCATGCCAAGAGCATCATAACTCCGGGCGAGGCCAAAGACGAAGTTGGTAAAGAAATCTTGCTTGGCGAGTACGTCCCAGCCAGGGTGGACAGCTTGGAGGAGAAGGGCATCGCTCTCCACCTTGAGCTCCTGGTAGGTAGCCGTTTGCGCACGGCGTCGCTGCTCGGCTTTGTGCTTGACGGACTGCGTCTGGTCGCGGAAGCGAAGTTCCTCCTGCGTGCGGTAGCCAAGGCAGGTGATACCCGCGCGGGCACATTGCCCACAGCCATCAAGACGGAGATCGCACTAAAAACGCTTGTCAATCAACCCGTTGAGCCAAGGTGATGGGGGAGCTCGTACGCGCAGCTTGCGCTTCCTACACGGCAGGCAGTCGCTGGAAGGTCGGCCTCTGTTAACCATTGGATCCACTAGTTCGCATCGGCGACGGGAGTTGAGGATTCCAGGTATTTTGATGCATGGTGATGGCGACGGCCGACGACGAAACGTTTTGGTACGGAGTTAAACTGTGCCGAACCCTCGTTGATGTCCGAGGCCAAACCGGCCGGTGGATACTCGTCATTTGGCTACTAGTCCTATATGGGCTAGCGTTCCGGAGGTGGGGCCGGTAATTGCAGGGGACTCCGGCAAGTTACAGGGCTCTTGGCCGCTGAATCGCCCGAATGAGTTAGCGATCCGGAGCTCCACGCAGCCGTTCGCTGATGCTGCCCGGCCGGGCCTTTGTCGTGAAATTATCGCGTATCACCAGATAACTGCATTTCAAAACCGGATTTAATACTAATTCCATATCCGTTCTTAGATATGGATACGGTGCCTGTTGACATCCGAGATGCACAAGTTGAAGTATAAAGAGCCTGCTTCCACCGTCTGGAGATCCAACACCTCGCCATAAAGACTCATTCTATTCACTTCATATAAACTCATATCAACTCATCAATACCATTCACTCAATATGGGCTTCCCTTACAAAACTGTACTCCTCGTCGGCGCCACTTCCGGCATCGGAGCTGGCCTCGCCGACAGACTTGTTCAAGAGGGCGCTAAAGTCATCGCCGTCGGGCGTCGCCAGGACCGACTCGACAACTTCGTCCAGAAGCACGGCGCCGAGAGGTCCGCCGCCATCAAGTACGACGTCACCGATATAAACGGCCTCGACGCCTTTGTCCAACGGTGCGTATCTCTACTGATAAGCCGTCTCGAATCATTTCGTGCTGACCATCATCGACAGTGTTGTCAAGGAACACCCGGGCCTCGACTGTGTCTTTCTCAACTCAGGAGTACAGAGCATGATTCGCCTCTCACAGCCTGGCAACGTTGACCTCGGCGCGTTTCACCGTGAGATCAACACAAACTTCACCTCGGTCGTTAACCTGGCCCTCAAGTTCAGCGCCGTGCTGCTCGAGAAGCAAGAGCCCACCGCGCTCATTGTCACCGGCACGCACCTCTCCATTGTGCCGTCGGTGGCCATGCCGGCGTACTCGTGCTCCAAGGCCGCGCTACACGCCTTCGTGGACTGCCTCCGCCGCCAGAACCAGGGCAAGAGCTGCCGCTTTATTGAGATCAACGCCCCGGCTGTGCAAAGTAAGCTAGCTGCTGCTTCATCAAATGTATAACGAGATACTAACTAGTGATAGCCGAGCTCCACGACTACATGGGCGAGCGCGGCCGCTCCTTTGGCATGCCGCTCGCTGACTTTGTCGACCAAGTCTACCCCCAGCTGGAGAGATCGGAGGAGCATACCTCGGTTGGCATTCCGCTCGGTATATCTGAAGATGACTACAAGAGTTTTGTTGGAACTAGACAAAGAATGTTTAATCAGCTCTCGGATGTCATCATGGCAAATATGCAGCTTTAATTGGGGCATCAACTTGACGGAGCAGGATTTGATACGTCATTCTTCTAAATAGATCATACACTTCGTGAAAAACTTTGGTATTTACGCAAGCTCAAACTCTTCCCGCACGGCTTTTCCTAGGCGCTCAATGCCAGGCGCCAGCTCCGGCTCCGTAGCAGCTGCAAAAGTGACACGCAGAGCTGCCTCGCTGACTTGCTTCGGGTCCGCAAGAAACCAGCTGCCTCTGCTGATCAACACACCGTTGTCCCTCGACTTTTCGTACAGTGCTCCCTCGACTGCCATTTGAAACTCTTTGGTGGTCTCTCCAGAAGACTTCGGGTGCTTGGTCACATCCACGCTAATCCAAACAAACATGCCCGAATCAGGCACCCTCCACGAGCAGATGTCTTTGGGTAGGTGCTTCTCACATGCCTCAAGCATCATGTTGAGGCGGTTGGTGTAGACGTCGGACAGATGCGCCAGCCACCGAACAAAGCCAGTGTGGCCCCAGGTCTGGTCCAGCAGCTTGTACATCATGACTTGGGAGGGCCCGCTAGGAGACATGACGCTCACTTCCGAATAGGCCTCAAACAAGTCGACAATCTGAGTACAGGCTGTCAACCAGCCAAGACGAAGACCGGGCGACAGAATCTTGGAGGTGGAATCTAGACGAACCACGCGGCCGGACACGTCTAGCGACAGGTACGATGGTGGCAGCTTCTCCACGTATTCTTGGAGAGCCTCCTTGCTACCAGTCTCCAGTTTTGACGGCCTGCCCATCTGCAAGAAAAAGTAGGGATCATCTTCCACAATGATGAGATCGTGCTTTTCGGCAACCTTGTAGATCTCCTTGCGACGCTCAACACTCTGCGAAACACTGGTTGGGTTCTGGCCGGTAGGGATCGTGTACAGGACGTATGGTTTGTGGGACTTGGTGGAATCCCAGTTTTCCAATGTTTGATCCAGTTCCTTGGCAGACAAACCGAACTCGTCCATACCAATGGGCACCGTGTTGATTCTTTGCGCGCGGGCGCAGACAATAGTGCCCGTGTACGAGTACTTTTCGACCAGGATGTTGTCGCCTGGGTTACAAAAGATTCGAAACACCATTTCGAGGCCAGAAGTAGTTCCACATGTCAGACTCGTCTTCCAGTCCTCATACGGCGGGTTGTGCACCATCTCAACGTGCTCCGTGATGAAGCGCACCGACTGGGGCGATCCGGCGGGGAAGCCGTAGTTGAGCGCAGCCGCCAAGTTGTAGGCGTTCTCGCCCTTTGAGCAGGTGATAGCGGTTGTAGGCTTATTTTCCTTAGCCGAAGCATCGTCGACCACGTTGACAGTGATAGATTCATATGGGTAAAACTGTGGCGACGGACGCGCGGTGCCGAGTGTGATCATGTCCATGTTCTTGCCGCGGTTGGCCGTCTTGAGAGGAGATGATCCTTGCGAGCGACTGTCTACGCTGAGGCGATGATCCCATTGTTTTGCCTTTGACTTGCCTTGGCCGGCATGCTTTGACTTGAAGAAGGCCGAGGTGGTGTAGGCTGCGCTGTCGGTGGGTAGAGGCTCTGCCTGCGCACGCAGTGTCTCAAACTGGGCGATTTGTTCAGCGAGTGACGCCATGACGCAAATCGAGACTTTTGATGATAAAGTTGTACGTTTGAACTGACAAGTTGGTTCTATGAATTGGTAGACAACTCCGCATTTGCTGTGATACTTATAAGCTGGGTCGGGAATCGGCGTAGTTGCCTTACTCGGAGTAATCGGCGTAGCAGTTAGTTAGCGGCCACTATCGGCAGAGTCAGTTGTCAAGGCGCGCCTTGCGATGCACTTACTGTGCTTACAGTGAATGCAGCGGTTTGACAGGCGCTGTGCAGTGGCGCCAGCGCGCCGCACCCCGCCATCGTGCCTGACCACATCCCCACCGTGTACAACCTACAGTAGTGTCTGCTTTACGCCGAGGCCGGCCGTCCAACAGTGCGGAGTAGTCGCTCGTTATTCGTATATATTCAATACGTTCTCTCAAACATTCAGTCTTTCTCAAGAACCATATCTCAACTTCGCAGCCAATATGCCTGGAACCATGAAGCTCGCCACCTACTTGTTCAAGCGTCTCCAGCAGCTGGGCGTCGACTCCGTCCATGGCGTCCCTGGGGACTTCAACCTTACCCTCCTCGACTACGTTGAGCCAGCTGGCCTGCGATGGGTGGGAAGCGCCAATGAGCTCAACGCGGGATATGCGGCAGACGGATACTCCAGAATCAAGGGCATTGGCGCCATTGTCACAACTTTTGGTGTCGGCGAGTTGTCCGCCATCAACGCCATTGCAGGAGCCTTTTCCGAGAGAGCGCCAGTGGTTCATGTCGTCGGTGTTCCCAGTCGACCCATGCAAGATGGCCGCATCCTTGTCCATCACACCATGAAGGATGGCGATTTTTCACGGTTCGCGCAGGCTCAGGCGCTCTTCACAGTTGCCCAGGCTCGTCTTTGGGACCCTAGAACTAGTGCCGAGCAGATCGATGAAGTTCTGAGACAGTGTCTGCACCACAGCCGTCCCGTCTACATTGAGGTGCCGGTCGACATGGTGTCCGCGCAGGTCTCGGAAGAGCGATTGGCTCAGCCTCTGCAGCTGATTCAACCCGAGCCCACCAGGAACCAAGATCGTCTGATCAGCAGAGTATTGGACAAGATACACTCAGCCAAGCAGCCCGTCATTCTGTTGGATGGTGAGAGCCGAGGAATCGGCATCGTTCAGGACGTCCAGGAGTTCTCAAAGGCCACCGGCTGGCCAACTTATGTCACGGGCTTCGCCAAGGGCCTCTTGGATGAGACGGAACCTAACTTCCACGGCATCTACAAAGCGAAGTTCGGTGAGGCGGCTGCGGAAACGTTCTTCAAAGAGGCCGACTTGATTCTCTGCTTCGGCCCCCATTTCAGCACCACCAACTCATACGGCAATGCTGCTCTTCCCAACCCCGCCACCACCATTTCCTTCAGCCACAATGAGACTGTATTCGAGGGCGAGCTGATTCGCGACACACCCGCAAAGTATCTCGTTCCCAAGATTGTTCAGGGAGTGGACGCAGCCAAGGCCAAAGGCGTCTACACCACCTACCCTGACCTTCCAAGAGACTCCATTCTGCCGTTCTCTGAGGTCCCGGCCGACGCCCCCCTTGCTCAAGATCGCCTGTGGAACATTGTTGGCAATTTTCTGCGTCCTGGCGACATTCTCATGGGCGAAACTGGTACCTCGAGCTATGGCTCCCGCATCGTCCCGCTGCCCAAATACGCTCGGTACTTTACGCACGTAACATGGCTCTCCATCGGCTACATGCTGCCTGCCGCCCAGGGCGCCGCCATGGCCACTGAGGAGCTCATTAAGGCATCGAAATTTCACTCTGATGTAAAGGAGTCGCGAACCATTCTCTTTATTGGTGACGGCAGCTTCCAGATGACAACACAGGAGCTTGCAACTATCATTCGACACAACCTCAACGTTATTGTTGTACTTGTCAACAATGACGGCTATACCGTCGAGCGGTGCATTCATGGCAAGGATGAGACGTACAATGGAATTTCGCCGTGGAACTACCTCAAGGCCCCGGCGCTTTTTGGCGCCGCCGATGCCTACACGGCGACTGCGAGAACGTATGGAGAGCTTGAAAAAGTGTTCAACGATGAGAAACTCAAAGACGGCCAGGGCTTGCGCATGGTTGAAATTTTCCTAGACCGCGATGATGCCCCCAAGGGTCCTCTTTTTGACTACATGGAAATTCAAAAGGCTGGTAATGGCATCCTCGTTGAGAAGGAAGTAGTGGATGCTTAAGCATTTTCCACATCCCAACTTGATACCTTATCCGCATAATGTACGATGATGAAGTAGCTAGACATAATAAGAATGAAGATAGAAATTATGGAAATAAAATCGCCTGTAATTCCTTTGTTCAGTGATTCTACAAGTACAAGCACTTTGCATGGCTGAGTCATCTATCTGTCGGAGGCAGGAGCGAGCTCCACCGACTACTCCGACCACGGCCAATTTCTGGACAAACATCAAATCGCAGTCCGTTGATAATTGACCGTAAAAGCGTCACAATGCCGCCTGCCCGTAAGAAATTCGCAGCCTGCGATCCGTGCAGGGCCGCCAAGGTGGCATGCGATCACGCACGGCCGGTGTGCATCCGGTGCCAGAACCAATCGCGGCAGGGAGAGTGCGTCTACCGCGCCTCGCCCTTCAAGAAGACGAAACGAGCCCCGGAGAAGAGCACTACTCCGGCGACACCCGGGCTTATGAGGTATGGGTATCGACGGGACCCATTGCGACGCAGTCCCTTACTTTGTCTCGGAGCATGAGCTACGCGGCTCGCAGCCTGAACGGGAGCAGACAGCAGTGCTAACACGACTACAGCCACACGCCGAGCAGACAGCAAAGCTTCACCGCCGCCAATGGGAGACCATCCGTGCTGAGCGGCAGCGACGCCGTCGCGCCCAAGTCGCATCGATACCCGAACCCCGGCTATCTTGGGACCTTTAGCTCCACCACCCTGTTCGGGAATCTGCCGGACATGCGTGACCCCGTGTTGGGCGAGGGTGGTGAGGGAGGCGCCGGCACCGGCGGTGTCGGCTCGGACAACCCTGTGCGCGAAGCCAACGTGACGCGTGGCGCAGGTTTGATTAAGCAGATCGAGGCCACCGTCTCTATCGAGTCGTGCTGCGGACTGATCCAAGCGTGGACAGCGCGTGGCTCCAGCCTGCCCCTGGCCGGCCCTTTCCTGGAACACTGCATCTCCACGATGCGGCAGCTGTTCCCCGAACAGGGCCGCCGGGCTGTCGCGAGCGTGGAGGTGTCACGGAGTCTCTTCCATAACACCAGCCGGCCAATCGACACAGCGTCGGGCACGACGCTGCACGACTTCCAGGAGCAGTTTGGCCACCAGCGGTGCCGGTGGGAGACGCTAGGCTTCTTCTTCACAGCGGCGTCGCGGGCCGCCATCGAACTGTCCAAGTTTGAGTCGGCGCGGGAGTATCGAGACTTGCAGCGGCTGGGTATGAACCTGTCGGATCTCAGTCTCGACATTGCGCTGTCGCTGGACTGTCTGAATGACTTGCAGCTTGTTCTGCAGTATGAGAATTGGATCCTGCATTCTTTCGTCGATGGCGACCAGAGTATGTTGGCCCTTTCTGACGTTTGTTGCAGCTACTTACAATTTGCAGGCTACCATTCTTGGAAGAGACTGGGGGATGTCATCAGTTCTATATATGCGCTCGGTCTACACCAGCAGACGAATAATGACTATAATAGCTTGCCACCCTTTTTACTCGAACTCCGGCGACTTACCTTTTCCCTCACATATTTTGCCGACAAGAACGTCTCCATCTTCCTGGGACGGCCGCCGCGCATACATCTCAAGTACTGCAAGCTGATCCTCCCTCGCAGCGACGGGCGCATCGTCGAGCCGTGGCGGACCACCTGGCCGCAGGACATGCCGTTTGACTATGTCGCCGACATTCGCTGGGGCGCGCTATGCGGCATCCTGAAGGAAGACATTATGGAGCTCTTCAGCGCTGAGGGCGTGCATGAGAACCACCCCAAGGTCAAGTACGCATATTGCCACACGTTCGTGCGACCGTGGCGTACCGTTGCTAATAACCGACACAGGGAAATCTACGACAAGGCCACCGCGCAATGGCAGGCGCTGCCTCCGCACTTCCGCCTCGAAACCTCGCTTAAGCAGTGCCACCAGGCGCCAGTTGTTCGTGACTTCATCCTTAACGCGCGGCTGAACCAGCTGCACATCCTTTTCCTGCTGCGGATGGTGGTGGCGCGGTCGCGACCCGAGAGAGACGCGGAGCTGGTGTCGACCGCGGCCGAGATACTGGGGCTCATCGTGGAGGCGCTGATGCAGAAGGACAGCCTGGTCAACTCCAACACGTCGCTGGTGTGGAAGGTGGCGTACTACGGGCTGTCAGCCGCCGGGGTTATCAGCCTTTGGCTGCTACACCAGTCGTCGGCATCGACGTCCAAGTTGCAGCCGCAACCGCACCCTAATGTTGACACATCCAGGGTCTTTCAGAGCCTGAGCGTCCTCGTCGCGGAGATGGAGAAGGGCGTGCTTATCGAGACTGACGACCCCAATTACAAGCTCCTCCTCGACGCCTCCAAGACCATCGGCTGTCTGCTGCGTCGGCTTTTCCAGGACCGCGTCGCCCCGCCGCAGATAGAGGAGGCCAGTGGCGGTGGTAGTGGTGGTGTTGCGACGGCGGCGGCAGCTGCGGTCGCGGCCAGGTCGCCCACGTCGGCGGCGGCCATTGCAGAGATGGAGGATGCAGCGCAGGACGCCGGCTGGAACCCCTGGGATGGCCACACGCTCCAGGACTTTGAGTCGGATTTCTGGCTGAATTTGGCGGAGCACCCGTTCCTGGCCGGCGGTGGCGGGAATGAGGTGTAGGCTTTATGTAAGGGCAGGTATATACTAGGTATTTAGGCGTGTACTTCAACGGGAACTTTCACATCAAATGAGCAATGGTACATATCAAAGCAACTCTGTTCTAGCAGAGTGTATTTATAATAAATTTCTTCCCAACAGTGGATACAATTTAAATGTAGATTTCTTTGTCAGATACGAAATATGCAGAAGTAACCGGCTAGTCCATCTCCCAACGACCACTCTTGCCACCGTCCTTGAAGACCACCCGCAGGCCGTCCACGACGATGCCCTTGTCGACAGCCTTGCACATGTCGTAGACAGTGAGCGCAGCCGTCGACGCCGCGAGGAGGGCCTCCATCTCAACGCCAGTCTTGCCATCGCACTCGACCGTGGCGCGCACGTCGACGCGCGTGTCGTCATCGTCGCTGAGCGCAAGGTCGACGGCCACACGCGACACGGCGATCGGGTGGCACAACGGGATGAGATCAGGCGTGCGCTTGGCGGCCATGATTCCCGCCACACGCGCGACGCCGAGCACGTCGCCCTTGCGCATCTGGTTGGCGCGGATGAGCCGCGGCGCGGGCGAGCCGCTCGAGAAGCGCACGGCGCAGGCGGCCGTGGCGACGCGCGCGGTGACGGCCTTGCCGGCGATGGAAACCATGTGCGCGGCGCCCGTCTCGGAGACGTGCGTCAGCTTGGGCGGCTCGGCCTCGCTGTCGTCTCTGCTTTGCTGGCGCCGTGTCGAGGAGAAGGGTCGCCGTTGGGTAACCTGGAAGGGAGGTTGTGTGCCGTTCATGGTGTGCTTCACTCTGTGGGGCATGACGCCGTGTAGGGTTGGGGCAACAGGATCTATTCGGTTCGTCTCAGCCCTGGCACGGATATATACGAGGAAACAAGTATTTGACGTAGCGAGGTGTCGCTTATGTTGCTGATATGCCCAGATGTAATAAACGCCATCAATGCCGCAAAATGTTCAGAGCCGTAAAGGAATAAGGCGTTAGTTACCCACCTATTAATATCATGGGCCTGTTCTTCATGTGCTCGAGCTCGCCGAGGCCGGCATGCTTGGCCTTTTTGCGCTTAACAGCCACGCCAATGACGTCGAGCAGCTCGGCCTCGTTGGGCGCCATGCCAAGCGGTGTGTCGGGTGACGTCAGCCCCTGGCGGCGGTCCATCTCAATCTGCTTCATAGCCTCGTAGGCGGCCTCGTCGATGGGCTCGCCGCCGTTGGAGCGGCGCAGGATGTCGCGCAGGGAGACCTCGGCGTTGCCAAAGAGGCAGACCTTAAGGTTGCCGTCGCCGGTTATGCGCAGGCGGTTGCAGGTGCCGCAAAAGTTGTGCGTCATGCTGGTGATGAAGCCGATGCGGCCGGCGAAGCCGGGGATATGCCAGGTCTTGCTGGTGTTGTTGTCGTGGTCGCGCACCTTTTGCAGGGTCGGATGGCGGGCGCGGATGAGGTCAAGCATCTCGTCGTAGCCGAGCATCTTGCGCTTGTTCCACTTGTTGCCGTCAAAGGGCATGTACTCGATGAAGCGGATCTCCATGTCGTTGTCGCGGGTGAGGTCGACAAAGGGGATGATCTCGCGGTCGTTGACGCCGCGCATGACGACGCAGTTGACCTTGAGCTTGATGCCGGCGCCGGCGCGGTTCATCTCGAGGACGCGGTCGATGCTGCGGCGGACGGCGTCGAAGCCCTTGCGGCGCGTCATGATCTGGAACTGCCATGGGTCGAGGGTGTCGAGGCTGAGATTGACGCCGGTGAGGCCGGCGTCGAGCATGGCGTCGAGCTTGCGGTGGAGGGAAATGCCGTTGGTGGTGAGGCAGAGCTCGCGGAGGCCGTGCGCGCGGAGGGCGCCGAGCTGGTGCATCAGCGGCAGGATGTCGCGGCGGACCGTCGGCTCGCCGCCTGTCAGGCGGATCTTGGTGACGCCCTGCGCGACGAAGACGGAGGCGAGCATGATGATCTCGGGCGTGGTGAGCAGCTCGCGGCTCGGCGAGAGCGGCACGCCCTCCTCGGGCATGCAGTAGACGCACCGCAGGTTGCAGCGCTCCGTGACGGAGATGCGCAGGTAGTCGTGCTGCCGGTGGAAGGTGTCGGTGAGGAAGTCGGAGAAGGGCCGGGCATCGCGGAGACGCTGGCGACGGGCCGAGGGTTCGGAGGGGGTGGCGGTGGAGGCAGCGTCGGTTCCGGTCTCGCTAGGCTTGCTCGGCTGCGCTGCCGCGGTGGCCAGTCGTCTTGTGCTTGGGGCGGACTTTGCGAATCTGGACGCGTGTGACAAGAGCGGCCGGGCATCAACGCGGGGTGCGTGCCAGGGTAGCTGTCGGAGACACTGCATCGTGACGGCGGAGCGACGATAGCGGACAGCACTCGCTGGATGCTTGCAACTGGGGTTTATATGGGAGAAATCATGCTGCAGTAGCTTCAACGGCCGTTTGACAAGTAAACAGTCGCAGAGACGAGGTGGTTAAAGGACTCATGATAAGGCTGAGATGTTCGCCACTGATTGAAGAGCGCGGGCAGGATTACTCAGCGGTAATGGCAGCTGCTGGAGTGGCTGGCGTTAGCGGATGGCGGCCATCTCCGTTCGCCGGTCGGTGAATGTTTAAGACGTGTGATACGAATTCTTTGTAAATTCGAGTTATTTTTTGGTCGGGGTAAAAGAAACTTTTGTAGTTTTAAAATTACGTGCAGTAGGCCTTTGTTGTGATTTGTTGACGCTCAGTCCCACGCAACATGTACAGTATCTTGCTTGTGGATAGCCCACTGTTGGTATTGTGAGCCTCGACTTCAAATTGGGATACTAACAACACGAAACCCAACTTATTTTCCCTTTTCGTCATGTAGGAGATTCATTTACCATCCCAAAGAAATGTCCACTAACCAACCCAGCCCTGCTCATGGCTAGCTGTGAATCTTACGTTCACTACAGGGTAGGCTGTCTTTCAGCAAACCTCCAGCGCACAAAACACCAAGCGAGAGGATTTGCACAAACCGCCCGTAACAGGCTTATACGAGCCATATTTGCTTACTTCTGCACTCAAAAAACTACGAAGAATTCCCAGAAGCCAACTTGTAACTTGCCAGACCTCTCACCAGCCTGCTACGTACCATGATGACCCGCAAACCCTTGTTATACCCAAATATCTCCGCCCCGTCTCCATCGTCAACCAAGACCCACGGCAAGATGGCCGAGTATGGTTATGGCGCCAGGTTAAGGTCACCTTAACACCTCAATTCCTGGTGGAGCAATCCTCCTGGGTTCAAATCCCAGTCTTGTCATATCTTTTTGCTAGTTGTCGCCGTTTCTCTGCCCCGGCCCGCCCTTTGATGTCTTCTTAAGCAACTTTAGGTCCTACCATTCCCACGGGCAAGATGGCCGAGTATGGTTATGGCGCCAGGTTAAGGTCACCTTAACACCTCAATTCCTGGTGGAGCAATCCTCCTGGGTTCAAATCCCAGTCTTGTCACTCTTTTATTTTTGCCGTTTTGCAATCGTTTTTGGTGCGGCCGTGGAGCAATGGTTATTGTACAAGTTTTGGCCTGCCGGTTCAGCATCCAAGGTCTACGGCAAGATGGCCGAGCATGGTTTATGGCGCTACGTTCAGGTCCAAATACCTCATTCGTAGTGGAGCAATCCTCCTGGGTTCAAATCCCAGTCTTGTCAAGATATCTTTTTTCCTCTGTTAGGAAATTTCCGTGATTCACAGCCCTCGTCTTTTTGCCCTGCCGTTGAGCCCTCTGTGGGGCATCAGCCCCAGCGACAGCCTGCCTCCCTAACAGTAAAATCAAGGACAAAAGTAAGAAAACAATCTCATTTGGTATTCTGTCGCTATTGCAGCTATCCTGTGTATCTCAATCTGTATGTATCAAAGATTCCTTGCCCCAGACGCCGTAAAGCAAACCGATTACGCCTACCCGCAGAAGGCAGATAAAACAAGAAACGAACAAAATATCGCCCAACATTCTGTATGCTGCTCGGCCATTCCACTCTTGCTTGAACCCTGTACTTTGAACCCTGCGCCCCGTTCTGTAGCCAACAGCACCTGGTCAGCCGACATTCTCCTCAGTCGCCTCGGCTTGGCCATCCGTGAAGCCTATATCGTCCTCAATTCGAGTGACCTGCCATCGCTTCGGCATGGCCTGCATTCCAGGCCATAAATCAGTCGGTAGGTACTCGCCGACGTCCTGGTGAAAGGCTTCTCGGGATGCTCTGTCGGCGGCCAACAACTTGTCCACGTTGTCCTGTGCCATACGCCAGATGTTTTGCACACGATCTTCAACAGACTTTCGGCGCTCAACCTCCAAGATCAACGTATTATATGCACTCGCATAGCCATCGTAGAAGCCTCTCATCGCCTTCATCTCTGTCAACTTGTCGAAAACAGTCTCCTTCTCCAGCTCCCATCGAGTCCTGAAGTCTTGCTCTGCAGCTAGATAATCATGCAGACGGTCGCCGATGTTTCCAAGTATCGTGAATGCCTCGAGCATGGCGAGATATGATTTTTCAGCTTCGGCGTGTCGGTGCTCCAGAAATTTGTAGTCCTGTTCCATGGCCGCAAGACGCTCTTGAATCTCCTGAACAACATCGCTGACCTCGCCTGCATCCTGCACCACAACCCGGATCATTTCTGCTCGGTCACTATCCGTCGTCGGCTCCAAATCCGAGGTGTTGGATTCCTGCTCGGCAATGACACCCGATATGGACACGCCATCGCTACCTTGAATTTGGTTCACCTCAGCAGCTCGGCGGCGAGCTAGAGCCGCACCGCCCTCTGTAGTGCGAATGGCCGTGACGCACATGTCAAAGTGGTTCGTCAAGGATACTAGCAGCTGCGCCATTACGGTTGAGTGTTCGACAAGGTTCATCATGATCTCCATCGTAAGCGGTCGCGACGCCTGGCCTTCATCATCCGACTCTTGCGTTTGGGACTCAATGATTATCTTCTTGAGGTCGCGGATATCGTTGTCGAAGCGGAGGAGGTCGCCGTCAAATGATTGCTGAATGCCCTGAGAACGGTCAGTTGCTGACCAACAACGGCTTCGTCCCCACATACCTGAAGCTCTTCAATACTCTTCTTCATTGCATCTCTCATGGTGTTGACGCTTTCTTCATCGACGAAATCTAATAGATTCTTTCGCTGCTCGTCTTCCGGGCGAAGGACGCTGTTGACTTGAGTTGACCGAAGAAACTCTATTGTTCGGCCGAGCTCGTCATCGACACTATCCATGGACTTGACGAGGACCCGGAAATCCCTCTTGCCCCAGTCATAGGTCGCTTGGAGACTGCGACGAACCTTGACCAGAATGGCGGCCTGGTCAAGGGTCGCGCCGCGAAGAAAGCCGGCCTGGGCGTTTAGCAGTGCCGCTTCCTCCTGCGCATTTCGGGCTGATGTAGCTACTTCGTTGGCGCGGAGAACGTGATTCATTGACGATAGCGATCGCTTCGCGGCTAGCAAATGGGTTACCAAGGTCTCGAGCGGGATCTTGTGTCCGGTAGAGGAGCGTTCGTCGGATCGCTTGAGCGACCCGGCTGAGGAGCCTGAGCCGCGACGGTTCGAGGCTGTCGGGGATGCCATGTGTGCGTTTTAACTCGAAAATACGAATAATCTGGGGGTTGAGACGATGCACAGCGCACACGGCCACATGATAGCAGCCGAAGTGATGTGCTGATGGTTGTTGTTGAAAGGAAGATGAATCACGAGTGCGATAAGGAGCGTAGTAGCGCGATAAGCTCAGATTGTAGCGTCATCGGCGGTGTCGGCAGTGCTAACAAGTGCTAGCGCCGGCTGCCGGCTGGGGTACAGTTGATCACTTTGCAGAGCATCGAACTACGAAAGTACGTATACACCTGCATTGGCACGCTGCTTACACCCCCGAACAGGTGGAAAATATACAAACAGCTTCTGGGAAGAAAAAAGGAGATGCGATCGTTAATTTTATTTGCGGTTGGTTGGAGGCGGCTTCCCCATCAACAGGGCACCTTCCTGTTGGTCTTCTTCGGTACCTCCATCACCTACCATTAATGCACCTAGAATAGGCTTCGTCCACACAACATCTCTTTTACAAACAAATACCCGATATTCCTTCAATATTACTGCCCTACCTAGATAGTGGCTTATTTCAGCATTGATTTATCCTACCGCCCACCTAGTAATCACCATGGATCTTTTATCAAAGAACGACGAGATACTTCATAATGGGCTAGCCGAAGCGTCAGCCAATGCACCCGACGACATCCAACTAAGTCGAGCTGAGAATGAGCCTCGAGTAGTCGTCGAGAAGCAAGCAGAGAACGAGCTTCCATTACCTGAAGAAATTTCAACACCCTTGTACACACTTGATACTCAGATAGCAGCAGCGGCCGATGCTCGTACTCCCGTTGCAGACGATGAGGAAGAAGACGTATACTCTGATGATCGAATCATTGCCAAAAGCAGCGCCCCCGACGAATCCCTACTTCTGGATGCTCGTACTCCCGTCGCAGACGATGATGAAGAAGACTTGTACTCTGACGATCGAATCATTATCAAGAGCCGCGCCTCAGAGGGATCCCTTCCGGATGCTCATTTTTCTGTCGCAGACGATGAAAATGAAGACTTGTACTCTGATGATCGAATTATTGTCAAGAGCAGCGCCTCAGAGGAATATATATCCCCGGATGCTGCTAATTTTGTCGCTGACACTGACGAAGATGACCTATACGCTAATAACCGAATCGTTGTCGAGAGCAGCGCCTCCGAAGGATCCCAAACTCCAAGGAACACACCATCGCCATCTCCAGAGAGAGTCATTGAGTTAATGGCACCCGGGAACCCCTGTCCTGCCGATGAGGAAGAAGACCCATGTTCTAAAGATCGAATCATTGTCGAAAGCAGCGCCTCCGAAGGGTCCCAAACTCCAAGAAACACACCATCGCCATCTCCAGAGAGAGTCATTGAGTCAATGGCCCCCCGGAACCCCCGTCCTGCTGACCCGTCGTGGCGCAAGTCAGCAAAGCAAAGCCGTCCAAAGTTTACTACTAGATTGCGAGAGGCACTGTTCGTTAGAAATGCCGACTAGAGAGAGTATATTCGAATTTGGAGAGAGCGCTCCCTTCATGGTACTAGCAGGGGGCCAACAATTGACGACGTCCCTGAGGCTCTTGGAAGCTCTGGACGCCCACACCATTTGGTGCTTGATGACCTGCGCCCTGAGTCTTTCTACCTTCTGGACAATGCCCCCCTGGAATCTGTCATGCATTCGAGCAACGCTTCCTGGTCTTCAATCCGCTCCCTGTCTGACATCGCTGCAAAGGTCAAAGAGACCATATCTGGGCTCTCGCAACAACAAGCACCGCCAGCTCTCCAAGTCTCCGAATACAGGGGATCGGAGCGCCCGTCCGCTGTTGGCTAGAGACGTGATGACGAAGAGAGCCGGGTGTCAACGTTGAGCGACGATGTAAGCAGTCCGATCAAGTCGCTCTGGCAAGCTAAGCATACTGATTCGACAATAGGAATGGAACCGATGTAATCGCGGAGAAGAGACTCGGCAAAACTATAGCCATTCGGCCTTTTTTGATCGTCAAGCTGTGCAGTCCTCTAGCAGTTCCTCTAGCAGTTCCCGGTCCTCAACCTCCGGAGAAGAAATTCGACAAGACTATAGCCATGCAAGCTTTTTTGATCGTCAAGTTGTGCAACCCCCCAGCCGCCCCGGCACTCCCCGATTCCCACCTGGCCCTGGTGGATTCCCGCCGGGACATACTGCTGATGCGGGGAGTGGGAGCATGTTGCAAAAAGGCACCTGGAATGACTTTCCTCCGTTTCGTGAGCCCAGAGTTCCTGAGTTACCGGAACTCGGTTGCCACGCAGAGAATTATAATGCAAAAGCCCGGCAGCGAGAGGAAGATAGTGCAAGAAGAGCGAATGATGCGAGGTTCAGATTTGAAGAAGATGAAAGGGCCAGAAGAGCGGAGAGTCTCTCGCCCCCTCTAACCCCCGAGAAAAAGACGGTATTGAATGCCTGCCTTGACTTTGTTGGGTCACTTGGCCGACGTAAGATTGAGGAGCAAGGCGTTTGGCTGTGCATGATTTGCAGGGCCCATCTAGACACTGAATATCCGCTCGAACAATTTCGAGCTGAAACAGAGAGAATGCATCGGAAGCTTGGAATTTGGCCGCCCTTCAAGCGAGTAGCGGGTGTTGCGCTGACCTACCGAAAATGTGCAAAGTGTCGTAAAAATGCCTTTTCCACGTTGTTTGCCCATTCTGAAATCGAGTAATGGGGAGGGTGAAGAAGGGCCAAGACATGATATTACTAGGTTGATCTATCGGCCTTTTACTTAGCGATAGCGATTTAGGCAGCGATTAATTTACCCCATTACTGGTGAGCGACGATGGCGAGGCGAAGATGCTATGTCGAATTGTACGAATCGCTATGAATGCCATGCAATATTAGTCCATCAGATGACGAGGCGTCGTTTCTTGTGCAAGCGGTGTCTCAGATTCTTCGGCATCTCTGAGCCCAGCATCTGCAGAAGCGGCCAGTCCGTGTCGCTTTCGATCCATGCGACGTCTCCAAGGTCGATATACGAGGATTGATCCCACTCCCACTACAACAAAGAGACCAACAATACTGCCGCCGACAATCTCGAAGTGATCGGTTATAACAGATACACCATCCCAGAAGCTTCCCTCAGGCTCAGCGACGTTTTGGACCAGCGAGAGAACCTGGATGATGCCGATGAAAGCAGCCACAAAAACGGTGATGCCAGTGAGCACAATGGAGTAGTACAAAATGGCTACGACGTCTCGGGAGAATGCCTTGGATGAGTACAAGGCCATCATGAGCGCGCCGTCTGTGGTGTCGAGCAGACACATGCCAGCTTGAGATGGTCAGCGACGGGCATCGAAAGTCGGCGAGGCTTGCAACTTACAGGTGAACAATATAGGGAAGATGAGGATTAGCCAGATGCTGGTGCCCTGGACGGCCTGGATGCTGGCGATTCCGAGAATGGCAATCTCGGAGCTCGTGTCGAAGCCCAGGCCGAAGACGACGCCGAGAGGGTACATCTTCCACGGGCGATCGATGGCGCGGAAGAGGAAGCCCAGCACCCTCGCCATGAAGCCGCCGCCCTCGAGATTGAACTGACCACTGGCGGTGGCCTCGGCGTCGTACTCGGTCGAGACCGCCGCGCCGTCGCCGCCCTCGGCCTCCCGGCGGCGCCTCTCGTCGAGGACCTGGCGGAGGCGGGTGACGAGTTTATAGAGAACCCAGCCGTTGCCGACGCAGAGGACGATGAGGAAGGCGGCGCTGACGGAGGTGCCGACGATGTTGCCGACGCGGGCGAAGCCGTCGAAGCGGTCGCGCAGGGCGCCGCTGGTGGCGGCGACGACGACGCAGGTGACGAGGACGACGGTGCTGTGGCCGAGGGAGAAGAAGGTGCCGACGGTGGCGGGACGCTGGCCGGCGGCGAGCAGGCGCCGCGTCATGAGGTCGATGGCGGAGATGTGGTCGGCGTCGAGCGCGTGCCGCAGGCCGAGCGAGTAGGACAGCGCGGCGGGGGAGATGAGCTTGGGGTGCAGCCGGAGGACGACGGCGCAGGCGGCCCAGACGACGGTGTTGGCGAGGATGAGCACGGAGATGGCGAGGATGGAGTTGTTCGGGATGCCCTGGAGGAACTTGGGCTTGGGAGGGAGTCGGATGCGGAAGGGGAGCCGAGGGATGTTGAGCCTCGCCATGATGATGATGGTGGTGGGCGGCGACGGTGAGAGCACGACGACTCGGGTGAGTTGAAAGCGGGCGGCGGCTTTGTATTGTAATGATGTAGCACCACGGGGGTTATCGAGGTCACTTCAAATAAGCTCGCCCAAATTTGGGAAGAAGAAACTTCCCCGCGACAGATTGCCCGATGGGTTTGAGGATTTGGCGGCGAAGTACTCCGGTGCGGCTCCGGTTGCGGTCGGCGCGGGGCGGCGCGACACACAAAACACAGGGAGGGAGGCTTCGGCTTCGGCTGCAGGGTCGCTATGTCTCTGCCCGTCTACATGGAGCAGGTACTGCCGCGAAGATGAAGAGCTTGTCTGGTCAGAGGAACCTCGTCAGAGTGAGTGAATTTTTCTGGATCGGCTCCGGGCCTGGCCTGGCCTCGAGCCGTGTCGGAAGGCCCCGCGCGGGGCACAGGTGACCTTCATTTGGCGGTCCCAATGATAAGGTTGCATTGTACGAGTTAGTTGGCGCCCATTCCGTAGATGCATGGCACAGAATCTGCAAGGCTTGTGAAGCGGAGGCGAGACACTAACAACGGGTGCTTATCTTGGCCGGTTTGGGGTTCCCACCAGTCCATGGCTGCCGGCGAATGCCGGTGCCTATAAATGCAGAAGACCCTGAGACGGGTTCAATATCCAAGGCTGATATGTATATCGTGCCTAATTCCCGTATTGTGGCTATTACATGCTATCTCTTCGCCCAACACATACATATATGTAAGGATGGATGTTGAATATGCCGAAAGATGCAGGAATTCTTGGCAGCCGAGATCGCTGTGGGTCAAGAGCATACTGTCGCTGATAAGGATCCCGGCGGGTTGACTTACTATTAATAAAATCGCCGAATTAGAGCTGAAGCATCTCCGGTGGCCGGCCCTCAACTGAACACGACCAGAAATGCTCGCATGATGGCTCATTTATGCTTTTTAGAGGCAACTAATTTCCCACTCATGCATTTTAATCTGCGACTAAGGAAGAGATGCAGAGCAATGCCCAATAAACTTGCACCAAGCTGTCGATCCCACCAATTCTTCTGTATGCACCAACGCACCATGTGAGGCTCAGAAATTTCACGATGCAGATATCAAGGCCAATAGGAAACCTTGAATTTAGCCAAACTTTCCATTAATTATAAATGGATGATGTATTTTATTGCCAACGGACCTACGGTCATTGCAACACATGATCTGATGCATCTCCAATCTGTCGTCTCGTTGCCCGCCAGAAACGAGGCTCCTCAGGGGCATGTCCGCGTGATGGTCCTCCACGTGAGGTGTGATTGCCAATTTAGGAAATTTGTGTTTTCATTTTCAATCGTGTGCAAGTACAAAAAACAAGGGATTATGGTGTATTGTTCAATTGAGCAACAAGTAGAACGACTTCCTACTCATACAATCAACACAGCAAGCTCACACCAAGCACACCAAGCACACCAAGCACACCAAAATTCTCACCAAAATTCTCACCACAATGACTACTCTTCCCCAGCTCCTTCTCCGGATCCCCGCCACGAACGACCTGGTCGGCATACAACAAAGACTTGTTGCTGGCAGGCAGGACGTCATCGAGACCATCATGGCAACTGTGAGCCTCGAGGAAGCTACCTTTGACAATGTATACGCACCTGTGCTCCGATACGATGATGCCATGTTAAACGACCGCTGCGATAATGCACAACGTGACGAGATATCTGCACCTGCGATTGGAGCCGGTGGCCGAGGAAGACTTGGTAGGGTGTGTGTGGTCGAATGATGTCGATGTCTGAGCTGTCTGAGAAGAAGGCGAGGAGGATGAGGGACAGTTTGTGGGTTGCCTTTATAGCGATTTACTGGATCGCCCAAATAAGTTTAAGCACAACCAGGTTGTCGAGCTACAAGCAGTGAGTACTGATTGAAATGCGGTGCGAAGCAATGCTGACTCGTGTCAGGGCTTCCTACGGCAAGACGGATCGCGGCAATACCCAGCCGCCATTCTCATGTGCAGCTTCTCTCTGGATGTGGTTGACGGTTGTACAGTGCTGACACACGCCAACGTCAAAACCATGTATCATGGTAAGTACTCCGAAACAAGTGACATGATGAAGCAGATCCCAACTGATCCCGCGGGTGTAGAACTCGGTCATGCGCTTCACGCGTTGTTGTCGCGAACCAAATGGGGCGACAGCCACGGATACCGGGCGTGTCTCGAGTTTGTCGAAGCCATTGGCACGTGCATTGAAAACTATGCGTGGCTTCGGAAGGAGCTCAAGAGAATCAGCTGCCACTACATCTACACGGATGACGAGTATCAGCAGGCTTGGATGGAGCGTCATCCTGGCGAGGCGCTGCCGCCGCGGGAGCTGCCGGCCGAGTTGGTCAGCGAGATGATCCGTCGCCGACCGAAGCACAGAATCTCATAGTACCTCAAGCAACTGTAAGTTGATACCTGTCTGTGGTAGCCTCATGGCGCGCTGTCATCGTCACATCACCACTTTCCAGGGTGAACTGGAGCTTTGACATGGCCGTCCACAACCCCAAGACGCACCAAGACCTCGAGGCCCTCGACGAGACGAGGCTGTACCAGGATCTGGAGGCACAGTCAACATTCACACTGGCGGATCGATCGTCGTACCCGCAGGCGGCCTTTTCGCAATTCGTGTCGGGCTACCAGTCGGGCTACTTCGCCTACATCTGGTATGGCATCACCACAGAAATCCTGCGATAGGCTGACGCTACTGTGTTGCTGACTTTTTAGCTCCAACGTGTTTAGTGAGGAAATCTTCCAGTCCAACTTTGCGGCGACCCGGCAAGCACCAAGGCATGGAACCGGTTCCGCAGGGAGCTTCTCGAGTACGGCGGGAGCAGGGACCAGACGGGGGTGCTGGAGGCATTCCTGGGACGGCCAGCGACGTCCGCATCGTTATTGAAAAGTCTGGGACTTCAGTAGATGAGAAAAAAAGGGGAGAAGGCTGTTTCGAGACAATAATCTGTAGATTTATTAAAAAGTTTACGGAGGGTTAATTTGGTCTCGCGGCTTTCATATCCACCCGAGACAGACTTGCTCATCCTCCGACGCTACTTCAAAGTCGAACCGCGTAACATCTTCCTTGAACGGCCAGAGATACGTGCTCGTGACTCTGTAATTTCCAGAAAATTATCAGAATCTCATCTCGAAACAAGGGCCAGGTAACTCACCGGTGGTGCTCACTGCTCGCCTGGTACTCGGCCAGGGCTGAGGGGTCCTTGTGGTAACTGACCAGGGCATAGTGGTAGCCCTTGCTTCGCTCGATGGGGTCGCTTATAGACGGCCCGCCGACGATGAGACGTCTGTTCAGGACGGAAGGCAAGTCTCGCAGCTGTTTCAATTCCCGGACGAATGTCGCCTTGAGGTCATCCGGGACCTCGGGCCGGAACTTGAACAGCACTGTACATGGAATTAGCAACCTATCGACGAATCAATTTGCGAGGAATGAGTCACATACCAATGTGAACGACAGTCATTGTTGCAGCAGTATCCAATTGAGCCTTGTAGTCTGCCCTTTGCATTCCTTTGACTGCATGCACGGGATAATTTATCTAGACGGCCGCCGGACTTGTCCCGCCGCCTGGTTCGGGAAGCACCCGCAACTAGTGTAAACTGAACTGAGGGGACAACACCGTATAACTAGTAGTTAATAATTAGTCCCCAAGAACTTGGGCGGGGGACTGTCGATCGTCTCCGCAAGTGGAAAGCAGAATTACGGACTTATCGAGCGGGAAAAGCCCACCGGCTTCAGCCGGGTGGCAGTGATCGTGCGGACCCCTGCGCTCTCTCCGAGCTGCTGAAAGGAGATGCAAGAAAACCCTGGTATCAATCTATCCGTTAACTATGGATTCTTCTCGTGCGGCTGATTCAAAAGGAGGAGTCAAATGCTCAGCGACGGCCTCCGTGGCTTGCATTGTCTCCAAGGTCGGCACGGATGGCCTTGGCCCTGGCGAGTTCCGCATTGACTGCGCATCTCGAGTCGCAGATACAGTACGAAGTGATAAAGGCATATTGATCGGCCAAGCAGTCGAGTATGCAGACCTTCATCATCTTTATCCCCCAGTCACCGCATCCGCACTTTCAAAGCGAGGCTGTTATCTCGCTGCAACATCAAGACAGCACTAGTACGAGACTGGGCAGATACCCCCCACACACCATCCAGTCCTCGGTCGAGTAGGATTCAGAAGAAAGGCGAAAAGTCGCCCCTCTTGCTTCGTTGCTGGTCTTCGTAGGAATCTCCTTGCAATTGCAACCATGGCTCGCCTATCTATGCTATTCTCGCGACTCGTTGGGAAGCTGGCCCTCGATGGGGAGCCTGGGGTGTCTGGGATGCAACTTATGGTATGAACATGTCCTCCAATAAGCCCAAATAGGTTGCAGTGTCAATTATTGGGCACACAAACAAGTCTCGGCGGCTAACAACTCACCCCCGTTCTCGAAAAGCTCGCCAGCGAGGACCTCCAGCCTGTGCCCCGGGTCCAGCGGCGGTGGACCGGCTGGAACTTTGTCGGCTTCTGGATCGCCGACGCCTTCAACATCGCCACCTGGATGATCGCCTCGTCCATGATCGTCGGCGGCCTGTCGTGGTGGCAGGCGTGGCTGGCCGTCTGGTTGGGCTACGGCGCCACCGCCATCTTCATCGTCCTCACCGGCCGCATCGGCGCCGTGTACCACGTCAGCTTCCCCGTCATGGGCCGGGCGTCGTTTGGCATCTGGGGGAGCCTGTGGCCGGTGTTTAATCGTGTCGTTATGGGTATGCTTATGCTTTGCTTTGAGACAAAAGTCACGATCTTGAAGCAATCTTGACTAACCCAATCTCTCCATCCAAAGCCTGCGTCTGGTACGGCATCAACTGCTACATTGGCGGACACGCTGTGTACATCATGATCCACGCCATATGGACCTCCTGGGATCGCGACAAGATCTCCAACACCCTCGGCAACGGTACCACAACGGCCGACTTTGCGTCCTTCATCATCTTCTGGCTCTGCTCGCTGCCGGCGCTCTGGTTCCCCGTGTACAAGATCCGCCACCTCTTCACCGTCAAGGCCTGGTTCGTGCCGCCCGCCGCCATCGCCTACCTCGTCTGGGTCGCCGTCAAGGCCGGCGGCATGGGCCCGATCGTGTCCCGTCCGGGGCGGCTGCACGGCGGCGAGCTTGCGTGGGCGTTCGTCAAGGGCGTCATGTCGTGCATCGCCAACTTCGCGACCGTCATCATCAACGACTCGGACTTTACGCGGTTCGCCCGCCGCCCGCGCGACGCGCTGTGGTCCCAGCTCGTCAGCCTGCCCGTATCGTTTGCGTTCACGTCCCTGGTCGGCATCCTGGTGTCGTCCGCGTCGGCGGTCATCTACGGCGAGCCGGTCTGGGACCCGCTACAACTGCTGGAGAGGCTATTCGAGGGCGCGGGCGCGGGAGACCGCTTCGGTATCTTTGTGATTGCCTTGGCGTTTGCCCTGGCGCAGCTGGGAACCAACATCGCGGCCAACTCCGTGTCAGCCGGCACCGACATGACGGCGCTTCTGCCGCGGTATCTCAACATTCGGCGGGGTAGCTATATCTGCGCTGCCGTTGGCTTGTCCATATGTCCGTGGGTGCTGCTGAAGGACTCCAACACGTTTCTGACGTACTTGTCTGCGTATGCTATTTTCCTGAGCGCCATGGCGGGTGTCATCACGACAGATTATTATCTTGTTCGGAGAGGCTACCTCAATGTTCCAGAGCTGTATTCTGCGCGCAAGACCGGGCCGTACTTTTACTGTTTTGGCGTCCACTGGCGGGCATACGCAGCCTATATCGCCGGTATCCTCGTCAACGTCGTCGGCTTTGCGGGCGAAGTCGGCGCCACGGTGCCGATCGGCGCTATTTACCTTTTCAACGTCAACTTTTTCGGCGGGTTCATCGTGTCATCAGCTGTTTACTGGGTGCTGTGTAGAGTCTTTCCAATTCCGGAGACAAGGAAGAAGTGGTCCGAAGTGCTCGAGAGCGACACCGAAAGCGACTTGCCATCAGTGACGAGGTCTAGCTCGGATGAACAGGTTGCTGTTAGCATGTGGGCAAAAGGTACATAGATGTCTCTGCTTTTATGGCGTTGAAAATATACATTATTTTGGAATTATATACGGTAAGATTTACTACATGCCCTGCCAAGAGCTGTTGTGCAAAAGAGTTACCATTGGCGGCACTGATACCTTCGTTGCCTCGGCATTCAATGCGTCGATCTCAGCCTGAACCAGTGGGATGCCCGTCTTCTCACGCTCCTTCTGCGCCAATTGCTCCAGCTCGCCGGGAAAGTAAATGCGCTCCACGCCGGCTGCCTTTTCTGACCCCGTGATTCTGTCGTAGAGGTACTGTATGCGGTCGCGAAATTCGTCCAGGCTCATGAACAGATCGGGCTTGATCGCTAGCAGAAAGTGGCCGACGTCGGCCGGCTTGGACGGATCGTAGGGCCCCGTGACATGCCCTGCAAACGCTGAGCCGGACAGCACGCCGGAGAAGACGTCCATCATGACGGCCAAGCCGGATCCCTTCGGGCCGCCCATCGGGAGCATGACGCCGCCGAGCGCGGCCTCCGGATCGTCCGTCGGGCGGCCCTCGGCGTCCAGCGCCCAGTCCAGGGGGATCTTCTCGCCGCGGCGCTTGGCCTTGTAGATCTTACCGCGCGCGGCCACGGACGGGGCCATGTCGAGGATGAAGTCGCGCGACGGGTCCTTGCCCGGCGCGCCGCACGCGAGCGGCGAGACGCCGATGAGCTTGTCGCGGCCGCCCCAGGGCGCCAGCGCGGGGCTGGAGTTGGTGAAGACGAGGCTCATCATGCCGGCGTCGAGCGCCTGCTGCACGAGCCACGCGCTCATCCCGAAGTGGTTCGAGTGCTTGACGCTGGCCATGCCGATGCCGTAGGTCTGCGCGGCGGCGGTGCAGGCGGTCATGGCCGAGTGCGCGGCAAGGAAGCCGAACCCGTTGCGGCCGTCGACCTGCGCGACCACGGGCGTGACTTGGGTGAGGTTGGGTGATACGGTAGGGTCGAGGACCCCTTGCTGGATGCGCGCGACGTACGAGGGGATGCGGTTCATGCCGTGCGTGTCGACGCCGCGGAGGTCAGCCGCGACGAGGCCGTGGGCGACGATGGTGGCGTTGGCGGCAGGGACGCCGTTGCCTTTGAGGATGTCTTCGACGAGGCGCTGGGCTTCGCTGGCGGCGACATAGTGGCGTTCTTGACTTGGTTGTTCCGAGGTCATTGTTTTGGGAACAAGAAAAAAATATTACTTTGTGTGTATCTTTTCTCCGTGTAAGAGAGGATTAAGTGTGCTTTATAGCTTTCGCGGGCGGCACGTCTCCGTCGGGCGTGGTGGAGACGAGCGGAGGAATGCCGATATACACTTTCGAGCTTGCGGGTTTTCTCCGCCACCACACGCGACATCACCGTCCATCAAGAACCACAAACGCGGTATTTGCCGATCCGTCGCTTATCAGGAAATCATTGCGCTCGAGAGAATTCGGGCTGAAAATGCCTGCGGATTGTCTGTCTAGCAGGCGGGCTGGCTCCGAGCGACCGACACGCGGCAAGCTCGCCTGTTTGCGTTGCCAGCGCCGCAAGATTCGTGTAAGCACGGTCCGGGAATCTGCTGAGACACACCAATGGCTAACGGCGGCAGTGTGACGGCGATTTACCGACTTGCAAAAACTGCCGCAACGCGGGCGCCGCATGTACAGATGGTCTCAGTGCGCGCTTGAAGGATCTGCCCAGGGCGTAGGTGAATGAATCACAGGTCAGGTTGGACAGATGCTAACCATATCTAAGTGAGATATCGACCCTCAAGTCTCGCATCTCATGGCTCGAGTCCATCATTCGACAGAGATGCCCAGATGTGGACTTGGAAAACGGACAGTCGCAGCAAGAAATTGACCCGGCCATGCTGGACATGCCGACGCTGGAGCCACAGCCAAGCATCGTCGCGACTGTAAATAATGCGCCTCAGATAGCCCCAGAGCCTCAGCAACCCCCCCAGCCGAGGCAAGCCTTGGAGCAAGTACTTGGTGGGAATAGCGCATCTGCCCACGAGATTGGCATGCTGTCGCTCGGTGCCAGCCAAGACTCACGGTACATTGGCCCGTCCAGTGGTTATTTTCTCGCCCGAGTCATGTTGAGCAAGCGTCGTGATTCCATCGGCGACTTGGATACAACAAGGAATGCCATTGACGTCCCAGGAGACCTGATTGAATCTTGCACCGGTCCTCTCCCCCTGCCGCCGAAGCGGCTCGCCCAGCGAATGTGCGACGCCTATTTCGAGTTCGTCCATCCACAGTACCCCATCTTGCATCACCAAACGACGCTAGATGCCATGGATCATGTATACGAAAATGGTAATGTGGCTCCTGCCATCTCTTTCCAAGTATTTATGGTCCTTGCAATTGGTGGGACAGCATTATCCATGCGCTCCAAAGCGCGCTTACCCAGCGACTCGTACTGCCTCGCGGCGTTGGAGTCGTTCCCGAGAATCAATATTGAAAACTCAATACAGGGACTACAGTGCTTGCTACTCCTCTTCATTTTTGCTCTGCATAGTCCTTGTACGCGATTCAACGTGTGGTATCTCAACTACCAGTGCCTGGCCGGCGTGTTGGACCTTGGGCTGCAGCGGAACATCACCGTCGAGTCTGGAATCTCGCTGCTGGAGCAGGAGGTGAGGACCCGCCTCTTTTGGGTGTGTATTCTTTTGGATAGAACAGTCTGCACAATCATGGGCCGACCGATCGGGCTTCGCGACGAAGCTTGCGAGCTGCGGGTAAGTTGATGCGCAGACTCACTGCATGCACTCGGCTAACTTCGACAGTTACCGCAAGGAATTGAAGACGTCATGCTTTCCGCGGCTCAGGACTCTACATCAAACCCGAAACCTCTTGGAATATCATACTCAGTTCACCTGTTTCGCGCGACAAAGATCAATTCGGAGATCAAGTACGTCGCCAACAGCATTCTCCAGGAAGCTCCGAGATATGCGTACCCGCCGCAGACAGATATCCACGGATGGCAAAAGAATGTGCTGCAGCAGCTTGACGAATGGCTGGCAGGCATTCCCTCAGATAATCAACACCCGAATGAATTTATGCAGCTCGTCTGTCAGCTGCGCTACCACGGTCTCTGCCTGCTTCTGCTCCGACCGAGCCCGGCAATTCCGAAGCCCACCTCCGCCTCCCTGATGCGATGCTACGAGAGCGCCGTCGAGAGCATCCGAATCCTGGACCAGATGTATCGCCAGAACCTTCTCATCCACAACTGGATCAGCCTGCACGGCCTGGTCCTCGCGGTGCTGACGCTCCTTTACTGCGTCAAGGCGGAGCCTGAGGTGGCGCGGGCGACGCAGCCCGACGTCCTCGCGGCGACGATCAGCTCGGCGCTTGGTATTTTAAGCGCTACGGGAGAGCACTGGGTGTCCGCAAAGAAGTGTCGCGACATCCTCGAGGACCTGGCCCGGTCGACGGCGCAGTGGCTGCAGGGCCAGCAGTCTACACAGGGGCTTTCGCGGTCGAGTCGCATCCAGGCGCGGGCCCCGGTTGAGCAGGTACATGGAAGTGGCAGCGAGAGCATGGAAATGCCATTTTTTGACGCTGCGGAGATGGATGGCCTGTTTCCGCCTTTTGGGGGCTTGTTCGCGGACGGCGAGTCTGTGAACATCGACGTCATGATGCAGAGTCTATTCCAGGATTTCATTCCGACGGTAAATTCTTTATAGCTAGTACCTTAGATGTCATACAATGATTATAGCTAAAAATTAATTAATAGATGCATAAGTGATGGAACCGCACAGGACGCTGAGATATAGTCAGGGCAACAACCTCCTACCGTATACGATTAATTACAAGATGTAGGAATAAAGCAACAATGTAACGCATAGGAAACATAAATGAAATTGTAAAATTTGAAAACGTTAAAGTTAAAAATAAAGTTTAGAAAGAAGTAAACTTTAGAAATTAAAGATTAAGATTTCAAAAGAAATTTTAAAAAATTTAATTCAAATCATAGTCCGTCCCAGTCAGATTTTTGAAAGCAACTGTAGTACATGTTATCGAGAGTGGCGAACATGGCTCGCCACGGTTTCCTTAGCAAGCGACCCCAAAGTGCTGCCTATTCTAAGTTTTTTAGCCTTCAACTACTCATTTACATTAATACTTACTTTCATACGCGGTTCCTTTACCAACAAGGCACAAAGTTTGCTATCATGGCGTCTATTTTAGCAAAGTTGATCTAGTGACTGAGCCGCCTCGTTAATTGCCCAGTCCAGTCACGCAAAAACTGGGAATCTAAACATAAAAGTCCAGGCAAAGGCTATCCAGAAAATTATAAAAAGCCATGGCCCGCCCATGTATTGCTTTTTGAATTCCTTCTTCTCAACCATCGAAACCATTTCACCGTGTCTGCGCCTCCGTGAGGAGCAGCGCTGACATTGGGTGCAAACTGGTACTGAAGGAGAAGCATGGCTGTCAAAGTTGATGGCTTATGCTATCTTGTACCTTCGGACATCAAACGTACCGGAACAATGATGACGCAGCAGCAATGCAGCAGTTCGTAAAATGCCTGTGGTGAGAGCCACGGGTAGCAAAACAAAACAACAGTCTGAGTTCCGCCACTCCAATTTGATACGGCATACTTGCTGTTGAGATTATTACCATAAAAATATTTTAGAAGGGTCATTTTACTCAGAATCCGGATATTTTCAGAGTCTAGATACAAGCCAACGCGGAATTCACGTCGAAAATACCACGGCACTATACAGGACCAGAGGCTGTCAGAAAATCGAAATCAGCACCGAACTGTGCTTGATTCACAGATCGAAGATACAGGCCTCGATAACCCCGCGTCTCGTGTCTCGTGTTCCACGGCGTGCCCGCCCCCTTCAGAGTCCCTGCCCGCCCCCTGATTCTCCGCGCAATCTCCTCGTCCGGAATGTCCACCTCTAGCAGCCGCCTCTCCACGTCGCACACGATCCAATCGCCGGTCCGCACGACGCCCAGCACGGACGACGGGTCGTCCGCCTCGGGGGAGATGTGCAGTGCGATGGTGCCGCCCGCGGTGCCGCTCATGCGCCCGTCCGACATGCGCAGCATGTCCGCGACGCCGCACGCCGCCAGCTTGCGCGGGATCGGGATCATGCCGGCCTCGGGCATGCCTGGGTTGCCGACGGGGCCGATGTTCTGCAGCACGAGCACGCTGTCGGGCGTCACCGCGAGGTCCGGGTCGTCGATGCGCCGCGCGAGGTCCGCGGAGCCGGCGAAGACGACGGCGCGCCCGCGGTGCTGCAGGAGGCGCCGTTCCTTGGAGGCGCTGGCCTTTATGATGGCGCCGCCGGGAGCGAGGTTGCCGGTGAGGATGACGAGGGAGGAGCGAGGGTACAGCGGCGAGGAGAAGGGCTGAATGCAGCTGAGCTCCTGGGGGACGGAGAGCGGAGTGATTCGCGCAAGCTCTTCACCGAGAGTCTGGCCGGTGTATGTCCTGGCTTCGAGATGGAGCAGCGGCTTCACTTGGTGAAGAAGAGCCAACATGCCGCCTGCTCAGTCAGCAGCGAATCAACAAGGGTAAGTAAAGAGGAGCTGTCGTACCAGAATTGTGGAAATCCGTCATGTAGTTCTCGCCGCTTGGCTTCAAGTCCACCAACAGCGGTGTCTTTTGTCCAATCTCATCCACAGTCTTGAGCGTAATCGTCCCGGCGACCGTCGGATGCCGTCCGATAATAGCCATCAGATGCACCACCGCATTTGTCGATCCTCCAATGGCTTGCAATACCGTGATGGCATTAAGAAACGACTCCCGCGACAAAAGTGCCTGTGGCTGCAAGTTGTTTTCCTTTTTGCAGGCGGCTACAGCGAATTTGCCTGTTTCCTCCGCGATGCGCAGTCGCGACGACGACACCGCCGGGGCTGAGGCGCCAGCAAAGGGCATCAGGCCGAGTGCAACGAGGATGCATGCCATTGTGCTCGCGGTGCCCATGACACCACAGGTGCCAGCCTACTCTTGGTGAGCACTAAATCATGTAGAAGAAGAATGTATAAAACAGTTCAAGATACTGTCGGAGCCAACTCATCGTTGATGGCCGATATATCCTCCATGTCAATCTCCCCGGCCCGGAACTTTGCCCAGTTGTTTCGACAGTCCGTGCAGGCGCCGATGCGCACGCCGCGGTGACTGCCCGGCATCATCGGCCCGGTGACCAGGTGCAGGATGGGCTTGTTCGCCGAGATACCGCCCATGAGCTGCGCGGGCGTCGTCTTGTCGCAGCCGCCGATCAGCACCACCGCGTCGCAGGGCTGCGCGCGGATCATCTCCTCCGTGTCCATGCTCATCAGGTTGCGCAGGTACATGCTCGTCGGGCTGGCGAAGGACTCGTGCAGGCTGATGGTCGGGAAGTCAACCGCGAGGCCGCCGGCCAGCTGCACGCCGCGCCGCACGGCGTCTATGAGCTGCGGCACCGAGGCGTGGCACGGGTTGAAGCCGCTCTGGGTGTTGACGACACCGACAATGGGCCGGGACAGCGCATCCTCGCTGTAGCCGAGGGCCTTTATGAAGACCTTACGCAGGAAGAGCGAGAAGTGCGCGTCGCCGTATGAGGTGAGGCCTTGGCGGAGGCCAGTGTTGCTGCCCTCTTGGATGGGTGTGCTGAGGTCATAATCTGGGTTGGGAGGATTGTTGGAACTCATGTCGACGATGGTCTTTTGTCTTTAGTCGTGATGAGTTTTTTTTATTCCTTTTTTAAGAAATAAAGCGCGTCGTTTCTAAGTCGGGCTGGTTGGAAATATATAGCCTCTGATTGCTAGAGGCCACCCATCCCATGGCGTCATGCCGGCCACGGAGCCGACGCGGACAAGCCCCGTCCGGTGCGGGAAACCGCCGCAACCGCCCCAGCTTATAAGATGCTACCCAGAACCAAGTAACCACAGGCAATCCACGTGGTCAATCGACAGAAAAGTACAACCATGCTTCATCTTACTGGAAAAATTGCAATCGTCATTGGCCTCGGCCAGACAGAATCCGACTCAGACCCAGACTGCTGGAGCATTGGCGCTGCTTGCGCTGTGCAGCTTGCGCGACAAGGCGCCATCATATTTGGCGGCAACCGGACAGTTTCTTCCACTTTAAAGACGCAAAAGACAATCCAAGATTTGGGCGGCCAATGCCGCGTCCAGGCTACTGACGCTACCTCGTCCGACTCGGTCAAGGCCCTCGTCGACGCTTGTCTCGCTCGGCATGGCCGCATCGACATCCTCATCGCCAATGTGGGATACTCGCAGCCAGGCAACGCAGCCACGATGACAGAAGACGTCTGGGACGCGCAAATTAACGTCAACCTCAAAACGGCCTACCTCGCGTGCCACCACGTCCTCCCCGTCATGGAGGCGCAGCCCGCGGGCGGCGCCATCGTCTGCGTGTCGAGCATCGCCGGCCTGCGCTACATCGGCAAGGACCAGGTGGCGTACAACGCGGCCAAGGCGGGCCTCATGCAGCTGGTCAAGGCCACGGCGGTGAGCTTCGCGGGAAGGGGCGTCCGCGTGAACTCAGTGGTCCCCGGGCTGGTCGAGACGCCGTACACGCGCACCATGGCAGAGAGATACCCGCCGCCGGGCGGTGGCGGGTACGAAGAGCTGAGGAGGCTCCGCGACGCGCAGGTGCCGACTGGTCGTATGGGCACGGCGTGGGATGTGGCCAATGCCACTGCGTTTCTGGTGTCGGATGAAGCGAAGTATATCACGGGACAAGAGTTGGTTGTGGATGGTGGCATTACTAGCTCAACAGGTAGAACTTGATTTGAGTTTCGATTGAAAGGATCCAACGTCGTCTTGTCTAGTCGTTCATGCAAATATATCCGCGCTTCGTTCTAATATGTATGCTCTGAAAAACGCCCAGCCTCGGTGATATGGCCGCTCTTTGACCACTACACCGGAGTGTTCACCCCCGTAGAGGGGTTCTTGGACGACGACCGCACAAACTTAGTGTGCTGGGCCAGCGTCACTGGAGTCCTCTCTCCGTCCGGCCCGACCTTGTCGATGCGGATCGTGACAAACGCCAGGCTGCCGCCGACCTTCTCCGCCGTGGCGGCGATCTCGAGCTCGTCGCCGGCGACAGCTGTCCCGAGGTAGCTTAGGTGCATGTCAGCGCTGGCTCCCGTGGTGTCGCGAAGGTCCCAAGAGGCGATGGCCATGCCGGTGGTCATGTCGACGATGGTCGCGGACACGGCGCCGTGCAAGCCCCCGCGGCTGTTGACGTGCATGGCGTCGAGCACGAGCCGGCAGACGACGCGGCCGCACGAGGCAGAACGCAGCGTGAGCGTCGGAAGGATGGTCCCGTAGATGGGACTGCGCTGCTTGAGGGCCTCGAGGACGGCCTCGACATGCTGAGTCCGGAGGGCGTCCGAGACGGCGGCGGAAGCAGCTCCGGACCCAGGAGGTGAGAGCAACTGTGCGTCCAAGGGGGCCATGGTAGGCGGGCGCTTATCGTGAGCGGGAGATGATAAAATGCCGGACGATGATTTTGGAGATGTGTATATGTGATGCCGCGGGTGAGATGCGATTGATGAGGGAAGAGTCATATATCTGTTTGTTGAGAATGGAAATTTTCGGATGGCGCCAGATAGGGGTGGAGCCGCGACACAACTTACACGGAAGTCGTCTCGAAGCTTGGTATTGGCATTGCATGTAAAGTATTATTATTAATGGCATTCTATTCAAACTGGCTCGTCCAATAGGGGTATGAGAAAAAAAAACATTCGCTGCATTAGATCACATCACCGTCACCGTCGTCAGGTCCAGTGGTGGACATGAGGCGCGGACTCCTACACAACCACATTCATCCTGGGAATTTCAGTCGCTCACAAAATCGCAGCAATGACCCAGGCAAATCCGACGACACCGGCGATGAACCCAATCTCGGAGCGGGCACCACCCGCCTTCACGGTGTTGGCAGGCTTGTTAGTCTGGCTACCGGGGGCAGTCGTGCTGATGATAGTTGGGCCGGGCTTGTGAGGGCCGGTGTTGGTGCCGTTATTGTTTCGAGAACCAGTCTTACCAGCGCCAGTGTTGCCAGATCCATCATTCTGGTCAGTGCTACCATGACCGGTGTTACCCCCGCCAGTGCTCCCAGAAGGCTGGGAACCAGCAGGTTGAGTCTGACCAGGCGGGGATCCGTGATCAGGATTGCCACTTTCACCTTGATGCTTGGGGTTGGCATCCATTCCAACGCTGGGTCCAGGTAAAATGCCAGTGCTCGAGTTAGGGCCCGAACCGGGAGCAAGGTTGGAGCCAGTGACAGTGTTGGTCGGTACGGACGATCCCGGAACTGAGGAGCCGGCGGGAAGAGAGTTGCCGTCAGTAGCAGTCGGGTTGCTTCCGGTACGGCCAGGCGAGTTGCCACTGCCAGCGGGGGCAGAGCCGCTATCCGTGGGTGGAGGGGAGTTGCTGCTTTGGCCAGGAGGGGACGGGTCACTGCTCTGCTCGGGAGGTGGTGAGTTGGTGCTGACCGGAGGAGGCGACTCGGTGCTCACAGGAGCAGTGGGAGTGGCGGTACTAACTGGAGGGGGGGACTCTGTGCTCACGGGCGGAGTAGGACTGGCAGTGCTGGCCGGAGGCGGCGATCCAGTGCTCCCGGACTGAGTAGCCGTGGGGCTGCTTTCCGGTGAGGACGGCGTACCGCTGCTCATGGAAGGAGTAGGTGAGATAGACGGGCTGGGAGTGGCACTCGGCGAGCTTGGACTGGCACTCGGCGAGCTTGGACTGGCACTCGGCGAGCTTGGACTGGCACTCGGCGAGCTTGGACTGGCACTCGGCGAGCTTGGACTGGCACTCGGCGAGCTTGGACTGGCACTCGGCGAGCTTGGACTGGCACTCGGCGAGCTTGGACTGGCACTCGGCGAGCTTGGACTGGCACTCGGCGAGCTTGGACTGGCACTCGGCGAGCTTGGACTGGCACTCGGCGAGCTTGGACTGGCACTCGGCGAGCTTGGACTGGCACTCGGCGAGCTAGGACTGACACTCGGCGAGCTGGGACTGACACTCGGCGAGCTGGGACTGGCGCTCGGCGAGCTGGGACTAGCAGTCGGCGAGCCGCTGCCCGACCCGGGCAGGCCGGTGCCGCGGTTGATGCACTTGCAGTAGTTTTGGAAAGCGGCTTGGATTTCGTGTGCTTCACCGGGACTGCAGGCTGTTTGGGCGCAGGTGGTCAAATCCCTCGACAGCGGGACCTGGGTGCCGTCCCTGCATTGGCAGACACGATCAGATGGGTCGCAGCCCTGCTCAGTAGAGACTTTTTGAAAGCACGCCCTCTATAGGAGCGTGTTAGTGGTCTTTATGCCGTAATATCGATGTCTGAGAGAGCTCATCTCGTCACTTACAGCGCATTCGGGGACCTCGAAGTCGGGGCAGCCAGCAAAAAAGTTGGCCGGAGGTGCGACTGCGGTGGTGGGAGCCTGAGCCTCGACCCCGAACCGGACGAGAGCCAGCAGGCCCAGGGTGTTGATGATGCTCTTCATATTAAAGATGGGAGCAGGTGGAGAAACTGGCGGGAAAGAAGGGCTGGATTCAGATTTCCGAGTGACTCTGCCAAAGCGAAAGAGAAAAAGGCAAAGAGGGGGTCAATGAGGAGATGCTACATTGTTATATCTCATCAGGCTGCCTGTTCGCCTGCCTGCCCGCCAACACCCACACACAAAGTCTCGGAACGCACGCACACCCTGGTCGCTCGTCTACATCTTCCATGCGCAGTATTTCCACGAGTCTCAAAGTCATCACCCAACAGGGCTCCATCTCCGTGCATACATGCATGCGAGGCAGACGCGGTCCAGAAGCTGCCTTTTTGCTGCCTGTCTCTACCGGCGAGCCCAGCTGAAAATTGTTTGGGTAGCTTTGGGCATGGTTCTGGACAAAAACGCGGACTTGTCCGATACAATAGGAAACGGGCAGGCTGGGAATGGGAAAGAGAAAGGAGGGGGTCATCGCTCTCCATGGGCTATTCGCCTGTCCGTCCAACAGCCTCATCCGTTTAAGAACTCGCCATGTGGACGGCCGTGTCCAGGGTCTTTTGGGTGTTAGTACTCTGGCCGGATCCTCTTCTTCGCTGACCAATGTCGCTTTCCTTGACGGTTTGATGAGAGCCTCGTCGGAGTCAGCGTGGCCCACGAGAAGAGTCAATTCTTTATTGTTACGGGTGGCGACGTGTAAAGATTGCTCCAGTCAGCTTTATTGAGCCCAGATGAGCGAGACCTTTTTGGATTATTAGCTGCGGCGAACTGCGTTGTGCATTTGGCAATATCATGGAGATATTTTGCCAGTGAGGTGGCTGCCCACGTACTGGCTTGCGTGTCTGACTGAGCTCAGCTATCGTTACAATCCTGCGGTCTAGGCTGCATCCAGCGACACCACATTTGACGGTATTCAATAGGGAAAGATTCTGTAGCTATCAACTATCAGGGTCGCTTCTGAGCTGCGGGGCGTTGGCAGTGTAATAAATGACAACTGCAGTGCGTGCACCCGCATGAGGCATCCCAAGCCACGTCCCCCAACCCTCGCAGCCAAACAGCCATGCTCAGTCACAGAAGACATTGGCAGGCTTGGCACAAATTCGTTCAGTGCTCTCGCCAGCCACCCTCAATTTTCTTCCCGGCCGAGTGTGCCTGATCGTCCCTTTAGCTTGAGCTGGCAAAAGCTTGCGCGACACAACCAATATCACAAGCCGTCACTACACTTGAGGAGAGCCAAAAGTAGCGGCCTCTAGTGATGGTACAAAATAATGCCATGATATGCCTATAAGAACCCAGCCATGCGAGACCCGCGATGTGGAGAGCTTCGTTCTGCACGAGGCTGTCAGCACCCACGCACAAGGGCCAAACCGCGACGATTAATTCCTAATTTGTCGAGTCGAGTAAAGAATGAAAGCCCTTGCTATGATCTCTTTGGCCGCTCAAGGGTCATCAGGCTGCGACTAGGGTCTTTGTTCCCCTGGTAGTGCAGGGGTATATGACATACGGCCAACAAGGCTCGGAACTGTGGTACAATTTACTCCCATCACAAAGGAGTTGGCTAGTAACAAATGCATTTGAGACCAAACACGCAAGGTATCTTCCAAGACATATGGGCCATTTACCCACCTTCAACGCCTGAGAGAGTACATGAGAGCCGAGCCCAACATGAGACCTATCCAATATACAAGCTGTCCACCACTTCGGAGAATTACCGCGAGGGAAATAAATGGAGCGGTGTGGAAGAGAAGTAAATATCCAAACTGAATCTACCAGTAGAGTAGCCAGCATCTGGACATACAGGGCCAACCAGTATCGGTAGAGGCGCAACGCTCTGCGATACTTCTTTGCGCTTCTCATTCTCTATTTTCCGAAGCTATTGCAAAGCTGGCTCTAGAACTCCGCCGACACCCTCCCTCTTTACTTGGCAATATGCAATGTATGTACCTACGACACTCAATTTCCGCGCCACCAAATAATTGTACCTCGGGCATTTGGTCGCGGTGCCGAAGAGCGACGATTTTCGGAAACTGCTGGATGATCTTAAGAGAGAGATCTACTGTATAGCAAGCAGGTTACAAGATCCATAGGGGTAAGAGACAGGAAGCTGAGAAAAAGAGACACGTCGATACGCCTTCTCCATAGGAAAGAAGTAAAACTTGGTTTTCGCCTGCGCCAGTACCTCCAGGTCCAGGCTAATTTCTGCGCTGCCGAAAGTTTCCAGTTAGTTACTTGTTATTAGACGGAATCCCTGCAAGTTATGTACCTGGCTGCTTTTCCAACGGGATCTTATTTCTCTTGTCCATAAATCATCTTTGACAGAATCGCTGCTACATACGGCCATAGGCAGTAGAACACACACACCGCGTCCCGTTTGCTCCGCTGAAGTTAGCTATTGACCGGCAGATTAGTAGTTGGGTCGGTGACGACCAGCGAACACCGGCTGCTGTATGTATCCTTTTTGCCGGGTGTCTAAAATCACAGCTATCATTTTGTGTTGCACATCAGCTATGTACAGTACACATATAAAGCGCAAGCAGCGCCTAGGCGATGCACGCAGCCAGATTGGCCCGGCTGCGTGTTTCGTCTACCGCCGAGGAATAACTTGAAGATTCGAAGGGATGAGGAAGAAGAAAAACAAGAAAAACAATATGGATAATTCTTCATAAGCGGCCTCAGTATTTGGGGGGAAGTTATTACAGGACTCACTGCCGGCGTGGCATCACGTCAACGCGGGGCTACATCAGATTTGTAAGCCTATGTAGCTACATACATAGCAACAATGTCAACTTTCACATCACACAATCAGATTCATCGTGCGTTTTGCAGCAGTTAAGGGATCCTGAACGCGTTCCAAATGTCAGGTTTACGTGCCACGGCTACCGTCGGTACCGCCAACCCGCTTCTGGACCACATTGTGATCCTAGTTGGCCATCATGCCCTCACCAGTATCGATGAACGACTCGACGGGCTCTTCACCGTCGCGCCGGGCGGCCGCCACGCCGATGGCTTGACTTGGAACCGTCTGATCCTTTTTGAAGACGGCTCCTATATTGAGCTGATTGCCTTTTTCGAAACCATTGACCCCGAACAGCGCAAGAAGCATCGCTGGGGCTCGCTCCGGGACGGCACCATCGTCGACTGGGCCTGCTCGCTGCACTTGGAGAAAGACTTCAAGCATATTCAGGAGCAGGTCTCGGGTGCGGAGACGGGGTATGCGTACAGCGACCCGGTGCCGAGCGGCCGCGAACGGCCGGACGGGACGGTGCTGAACTGGTCCATTGGCGCGGCGATGAGCCCAGACGGAACGCCGGTGTTCCCGGGGACCCTGCCGTTCTGGTGCTTAGATAGGACGCCCCGAGAGCTTCGCGTTCCGTACGAGAGCTCGCCAGAGTTGACGAGTCATCCCTCGGGTGCCAGGGGCGTATCGCGCATTCTGATTGAGGCGCCGGTCGGCGACAGCTCACATCTCAAAGATGTCTACACGGCAATATACGATCCGAAGTCTGCCAGGATCAACAAGGATGAATGGCTGTTTCATGTGCCATCCGGGGCGCGAATTGGCAGACAAACAATATCGATGGCAGGCGGGTCTGGAGAGCAGGTTATCAAGCTAGCATTAGCAGGTGGAAAGAACAGTCCGTCGTCCGTGGAACTACTTCCAGGGCTCATTGTCAAGATCGAAAACTGAGGGGTTAGAATGCATCTAAGACAATTCCTCTCAACTTGGACGGACGGTACCATCTTGTCGTGGGGGCCTTTGATTTGATTTGATTTGATTTGATTATTTACGTCTGTTGGCGCC